CTCCCGACGATTCGCGAATATTTTAAAGAGCTGACCAAACGGTTCTTCGATACAGCCGAACATCATCTCAACCCTCTGGTGGTAAGCGCAGCAAATTACCAACCCGTCAGTAACGCGAACGTCAACAAGCGTCGCCCGCGAAACGTCCTAATCGACCCGGTCGAGGAAGGGGACTTAGATACGCCGGACCCACCGCCGGGGGTCCCGCCGGACAACACTACACCCACAGTGCAACAACAAACACACTATTTCGCCCTCGCCTCCGAGCACGGCGAGACCAACACAACGCGTACACAAGATACACCCGCGTTCCGGGGCGGTTCTCACCGCCCCCAGCCACCGATTAGCTAATTGCACAGTCGACGGCCATCGGGGTTTCGGTCCGAACCACGACCTCGATGGCCCTTAGATGACGTACCATAGTTAAACGCACGCATGAGCACATGCGTGGCCCTACCCACAGCGGAGGGCGCAAACCTAGCCCACCGGTTCTGAGTCAGATGAAGCTTTAATAGTCTCGGGACTGAAAGCGAAAACATCAGTTAATACAAGATACAAGACTTCGTGCGCGAGTCCGAGTCGCAATTGGCCGGTTTTTTATGTATTCGTCTCTTCAAAGCCCGCTTTCGTTCAATATTGATCGTAAAATTATTATGCAATACTCTGGGTTAGGGGTGAGGTAAGGTCGACGTCGTTATGAGGACTATGATCAGAAATGTGGCATTCATTTGTGCAATGTGTATCGAGCCACCATCAATCTTGAATATCAGGACATTCCGTTTAATCATTATCAAAATATTTTTAATGACCCTTCACTATTATCTGGAAAACTTTGGCATTATCGCCCCTTCAATATAACATACACTTATCGAAATAACGCGTGTGTTAACAAAACAATCGTGATGTTTGCTATTGTTTTAACTTCTTATTCTGTGGACATAGTTGTTTTATCAATCCTACCATCATAGTGCTATGTCCACATTTTTTTTTATATTTTCAAGATAGACGTGTGAATTTTGAGTCCCATATGACGGTGTTCTGGAATGAACTGAATCGCATTAACGAGCAACTCAAGAATTTATTGAAATTACAGATAAAAAAATCTTAACGTAATTTTATAACATAATTCTGGTTTTAATTGATTTTTCAAACGCCTTTAATACCGTCAGTCACGAAATCCTATTAGCAATCCTCTCCTATGTAATGGTTTCCGATGAAGCGCTGGAATGGTTTTCGTCTTATCTTCGAGGGCGCCAGCAGGCAGTTAGTATTGGTGAATTGTCATCAAGCTGGCTTAATCTTGCAAGTGGTGTCCCTCAAGGCGGTATCCTCTCTCCCATTTTATTTTCTGTTTTTATTAACCTTATCACTCATGACCTTCAATGTGCGTATCATCTTTATGCCGATGATCTGCAACTGTATGCTCAGGCAACTTCTGATAGGCTCCCTGAAATAATTCGTACTGTAAACCATGACTTAGTTGCCATCAAAAAATGGTCTGACAGGTTTGGCTTAACCGTCAATCCATCGAAATGCCAAGCCATCGTAGTTGGGAGCTCGCGCATCACAGGCAAGGTGGGAGATTATAAAATTTTTTGTAATCTCCCACCTATAATATTTGACAGTTATCACATCCCTATCAGTCACAATGTAAAAAAAAAAATGTGTGCGTGTACTAGCGTACACTCGTAAGAAGTGAAACTTTTTTATGACGTTATTTTTCAAAAAATAATTTACTATATGCAACTTTACAGAAATTGGTTAAATAAAGTTAAATAAGATAAAGTTTAATAAAAGGCTTTTATTATCATAGACATAAATACAAATTCTACAATTATTTCATTTTAGCTTTGTATAATATTTACTTTCTTATTTGTAATACATAGGTGGCGTTAGTAATAAATTAAAACACACTATGGTTTGACCGTTGTAATAAGTACGAGGGTCCGCAAAAATTGTTGATTAAAAAACTTGCAACGTGAACCTTGTTTATTTCAATTAACCTCACGGACCCAAATGGTCCTTCGTTGCCGAATAGTCAGCCAGTGAGTAGAAGGCAGACATTCGACTCGCGCGCGAGTGTTGTGAGTGAAGTTTTTTTGGAAAACCGAACTTGCGGACGTTGGATCGACGTCGCAACCGCAAGTTCCAGGAGCCGATCGAGGTTACGAAGAGCATCATCGGTCAGCTTCAGATTATGTCTTCGGTGGAAGGCGCAGTCAGGTCACGGTGGGCGGTGCCTGCCTTTGGAGAAGAGGAAGTCGACACAGTGTCGTGCTCTGAAGTATTAGAGCTAGCACTGTCATTACTACAAAGATTATTATTGAATTTCATTAACATTCATTGATGTCGTTATTATATATTTGTGTTATTAATGGCTTATGGTAACTGAAATACGAAATATATTGTTTACATTTTAGAATTAGAATTAAAATAAACCCTTTGATTTTACTGATCACTTTAATATAACATATATATATATTGCTATGAACACACAAAGGAACTAACGCCATCTAGCGTCAACTATTAAAACCACTAAAGAATAAAGACGCCATAAAACCCCCTATTCAAAATTAGATGGCGTTAGAGGAACTTTTTAAGATAAAAAAAAGATGGCGCGTAACGGAAAAATGTTACACTAAATTTTTTTCCAACCCCGATAAAGAAGTTTCACTTCAAAAACCTTGGTTTGTACCTTGATAGGACGCTCAACTGGGACACTCAGGTTGGAAGTGTCTGCCAAAAAGTCTCAGGTTCCCTAAGGTGTTTATATCGGCTCAAAAATTTCCTTCCTACGAAAACTAAGGAATTGCTCGTGCAGGCCTTAATTTTCCCTTTAATTGACTATGGTGACGTGTGCTACTTTGACCTGAATGCAGATCACCTCAATAAACTCGACCGCCTTCTGAATAACTGCATTCGATTCGTTTTCAATCTTCGTAAGTATGACCATATATCCTCTTACCGTGCCCAACTTCAGTGGCTACCTATACGCCAACGACGTTCTCTAAGAGCTCTGACCACTTTGTACTCTTTTCTGAACTCTTCTTCCACCCCGAGTTACTTATCCCATCATTTTCAATATTTATGTGCTGTCAGCAACAAAAACCTTCGCTCTTCGCATAATCTTCTTCTGGAATGTTCTTCTCACCGTTCTGACTTCACTCTTCTTTCTTTATCCAGTCTATCCTTCTGTGGAATGCGCAACCCCTCGAAATCAGGTCGGCTAAAAGTCGCTTTATATTTTAAAGGAAGGCTCGTGAACACATCCTTAAAAACTTATCGGCAGATCAATTCCATCGTTGAATATGTGAGTTTATATATGTATGTTTATATGTATGTATATATGTATGTCTATGTGTATATATATATATATATATATATATATATATATTTATTTATATTTATTTATTTATATATATTTAGTTACATATATTTATGTATTTATTTATATAGGTATGTATTTCATTTATTCGGTAGTTATGTTCTTATGCAGTTTTTTTTCTCTGTGCACCTACCTCACTATCTCTGTACCACCCTAAGGTTGACTGGTAGATAATGCCTATGGCATTAAGTCCGCCTTTGTACTTTGTGTGCATTAAGAATAAATAAATAAAATTCTTATATGCTGTAAAATGGAAGTTATTCTGTTATTTAAATTTTATAACTGTAAGGTTAATTGCATTCTTAGTCTTTTGAGATACACCAGTTTTACGCGGGTAATATATTAAGCAATACTTTTTATTCCGTAAACATCACTTATGTATTTCAAAAGGACGACGCGGACAGGGCCGGTGTAATTTTGAAGTTAGTATAGGTTTTTGTTTCCACTTCTAACGAACATAAGAAATAACGCTATTTGGTCTATCCGTAATTATAATTACATTTCTGTTCTGTTAACTTAGTGTGTACGCGCCTTTTGCCGTGAAAAATATTTCTCTGCCAAGGTCGCAGAACTACGACTATTTGGTGTCAATGCCCGTCATATGTAAATTATAATTATTTAAGAGGACTATCATAATGATAAGATGGTATCATGTTCTAGACTTAACGAAAACGTTGTCAAATAAAACGTCTGTTGTCTCAACAAATATATTGTTTTGTTACTTGTCGTGCACGAATGGGCAGACTTGTCTCCACGGCCTCACAGGAGACCAGCGTAACTTGGAAGTGTTTACTTTCGCGTTTCGTCTGGTGAGTGAGGTAGCCGGGGTCCATGCTTACGCATCTGCCAATCCTCAGGTGAACCGCCTGCATGCTCGACAATTTTTCTTAAAAAATATCTCCGGTATTTGGTGAATATTTCGTTCGATTTACCTCAATACTTACTCCAACGACATTTTTTATGAATTGTCCAAGTATAACTTACCATACTTAGTAATATTAAATTCTATAAATCTACTGGAGAAACCACACATCGAACCACTGTTACAGTATTCTTTACATTCAAGAAAGTTATATTAGTCTAAAGATAACAATAATTTATAAACATTGCGTTATTAACATGGACTTATATTGCCGTGAACATTATGTAATCCAAAAAAGTTTGCTCCAAACTGTCCACATTGCAGCCAAGTTTTGTTTTTTGCTATGCAGCACATAATTATCAAATAAGACGTAGAGTAAAAAAAAAGTGAAGCGAAAATTTCAGACCCTCTATCCTTGGACGGTCACGGATATTCGGACGGATATTTAAATAAACAATCCTAATAAATATATGTACATTGCAGTAGATAGGGTTATATAGAATAGATAAAACTTGTGCTAGGGTCAGCAAGCCTCACATTTCATACTTTCGTTGTCATTACAAACAAATCATTCTCCCGCGAGACATCGTTACCGTAGTACGCCTCTATTTTTTTTTAAATGTCGCTCTGACGCATGCGTCGGCCGAATGCATTTTGTATCTGTCGGTCAGCGGGTTATCTGTGTTTTGGTAATAGAATAAATAATATTCTCAATCAGTAGATATTGTTAATTTTTTCTTTTCAACGTGCAAAATGGTCGACAATCAGTGCACAGCCGGACCGGTGAAGGCATACATCATGAGTGACCTGCTGAAGAAATTCGATTTTGACAACACCAACGATTATGTCAAGTTGACGCTGGCAATAGTCGGATTCTACGTGGGCATGTTCTATCGTATGTTTTTTTTATTCGTTTTTTGAAATTGCATGTTAGGCCCTGTTTTTTTTTTAATTATAGGTAATGGTTGTAATTTAAAATATAGAGCCAGGATCAAAATTAATTTATCATATGAAGCTGTGGTTTTTAAAAATATGTAAACGAACCATAATGAAAAATCCCTCTCCTCTTAGCAAATGAAAAACTGTTGCGCTAAATAAAATTTTTCGAAATACTTTTTTTTGTGCTGAAACCTAAAAGTAAACTCATCTATTATTAAATCATCAAATAAGTCGATGTGGTAGCAAATATCGCTTTGATATTGTTGAAATTACTAAATTGCAAAGATTGGACCGGCAACTAAAATTTTTAATTTCAACTTTAGCGCGCGAAACAGCACTATAAAAATTAATATACTTTAAAAATAAAATAATAATAGGAATATTCTTACCTTTTTATGATTATTTTCCAATGCTTATGTAGACTTTTTGCGTTTTACTCCGAGTTTTTGTCCCAGCTATGGGCTAACGTTAATGTTAACTAGTGGTGCCAAAGCGCAAGTATTGTATTAGAATTAATTAAGTAATTACTGTATTAAAATTACGCAGCAACAGAAGTACCACGGTCTCACAGACGACTGGTGTGGTTGTATTATACTTTTGCTTTTCGTCTGGTGAGTGAGGTAAACGGGGCCCCCTTTTTGGTTGGTAACGCATAGCTGCAACCCAACGTTGTAGATGTCCAAGGGCGGCGGTAATCACTTAACATCAGGCGAACCGCTTGCTCGCTTGCTAAATTTCACATAAAAAAAATCACAAGACGTTCGAAACCTGATGATCGGTATCAATGTAATTCATTTAAACAACTTCAAGGTACTTTCGTGTTTCTTCTTTTGTAAGTTTTGCGTAAAGCTTTGAACCGATCGCGATGGGTAGAGTAAATAAGAATTTGCATGATGCTTTATTGCTTATAGTCCCAAGCATACTTATTTTTGTACCGAAATTAACTATTTTTTGATTAATATATTACTAAACGATAAAAAAATTATAAATTTGAAAATCGAATGTTACAATTTAATTTTTTTTTTCTATAATTTCTAACAATCATTTACTAGAAGAATTTGGGAATTGTTGGAGATAATCACTTCTTTATCCTTCTGTGTTCCAGCCAACCATTTTTTGTTTCTAAAGTAGTATAACATACAGATTGGCATTTAATAAAATAGATGTTGCGAAATAGCAATTTGAAATGTGGATGCTTTTCTTCACATGTTATCGTTATAAATCTTTCGTCGAATCGGCCAGTACAGTTAAGTGTGTCAGTGGATCGGAAGAAGTCGCCAACAGTCAGCAGAATTTGGCGCGAATTACGCGGAACCGCCATGTTTAATTTCGAACATTTGCAAAAATAATTCGATGAATCAAATTACAAAGCGTCATTATGAATGCGCTTGATTTAACCTTCAGTTAATCGAACGGAATAGAATAAACATTAGTTAAAATATATTACAAAAGGTATTAATAAATGTAGGTATTAGTATTCCATCATATTCCATAATGGTATTACATATAATATTTCTAAATTGTTCTACATTTATTCATATTAAATGAAGTAATATATAATGTAACCTGAAGATCAGATTGGATTTCGCGGTTTCCAACAAGGCTTGATGTCTATTTCAAAGCCTTGAGACACGTTTACTGTCAATTTACATCATTACTAGATTCTACAGCGTGGCGATAATCTGTGAGTTGTAATTTTTATCATTAACAAAATTAATTCACTATTATTACCGTTTGTCGTCGTGATTCAATTGTATCAAAAATTTTTATAAACGCACACAAGCACGCACTTGTCTTTTCTTCTGTTTTTCGTCAATCGGATAACATAAGCTTTAATGTGGTGTTTGAATCATTGCATTTGAACACCTTCGAAATAATACGCACGCACAAGGCACCTGGTACAGCAACAACATGATCACTCGTCAACATCTAGAGCGTTTTCCAACTTTTCATAATTAAAATAAATAATCATATTAAACGCCTAGACTAGCGCTGAAAATAAATTTTAACAGTTCAAAAGACATCTCTATAGCATTAAGCTATTTTATTGCTAAACCTTAAAACCACAAAAAATAAACAGTGATAACCCTGTAATCCCCCCCCCCCCCTAAAAAAAGTAAATTAAAAAAAATTTTTTTTTAAGAAATACCTTAGGAGCCAACTCATTTCCAAGGGTTATACTCGTATTAGTGTTTCTAAGACCTCTGTAATATCAAATGTCTCTAAAACATAAGATTATGTATATATGTACGAGTAACAGTACGTTAAGTTACGTTAGTTTTACTTGAAATGCGTATATTAAATGGAAAAAAAATGTAAAATACATTAAATATTTTGTGTTCAATATTATAATGTCAAAGATTCCGTAGGAAGTTCAGTTAAAGACAAAAAACTTGAGATCCAGAGGCAAGATCATCTTTAATCTACGGCCATTTGTTTACGTTTTGCGTACTCCGAAGTGATTTCATATAAGCCTCAAACATCCGGGTGTGTGTAATCATGGCGCTCGCATTTCCTTGTGCCTTCGTAATATTAAATAACCTTTCGTCCGGAAATCGATAGAGGATCGATGTAATTCTAAATAATAGGTCGGGGAAAAAGTATTCTCTATTTTGTTTGTATCTATTTCGCTGTAGTGTTTGAAAAATAAAAAGAAAAAAACAATTCATTTTTCAATTTTTTTTCTATCAGTTAAAATGGGTGAATTTAAGGAAGAAATTAATACATTTTGTAGCCGCGAAAAATATAAAATTAGGGACATCTATGGACCTAACTGTCAGTAAGCGAAGCACAACGCGTATTCATTCAAGATATGGAGGGTAGAATAAAGGAGGACCATCTCAGTGTATTAAAAAGTGTCCGTTGAAAGGGAGCAAATTAAGGTGGCGCTATAGTAGCAAGTGGAGGAATTTTAAATAGAGCGCCACAAATTATTAGAGTAGGATACTAAATTAAAAAAGGAAAGAAACATTTCCGCTTTGTTACAGCGCAATTTTTTAAATTTTATTGTAATATATAGACAAAAATGAGTATGGAATAAAATTAAAGAAACAAAAAAATAAAATTAAAACTACAGAAGTCAAGAGAAATATTAAATTTTTCAACCCAGCACACTTCACTCTGCTTATAACTGCTAAGTTCATATCATTTCCACTTGCTACATTAGCAGCTATTTAGGTGAGAGTTCGAACAATAATTTGCTGTTTACAAGTGGACACTTTTTCGACTAATCCCCCATACGAGACGGTCCTCCTTTATTCTACCCTCCATAATTCAAGACGACCTACGAAAAGAAATGATCATAGACAAGGGCAGTCTAGCTCCACAGACTAGCGAAACCCGGATTAACAAGCAGTAAAGTGTAATGTATGAATGGTGGGATTGAAAGTTTTTATCGTCGGGCCTTTCCATTGATTCTGATCTCTACTACCAACAACTGATGAGAATCGAACTAGAAATTAAGAAAAAACAGCGGTATTGATTAAAGGAAAGAGTTGTCGTTTTTCATCATGATAACGCCAGACCACACACATCTTTGGCCACTGCAAAAACTGATAGATCGGTTCTGAAGTGTCAATGCACCACAACATAGCCCTGGCCTTGCATCCTCAGATTTACACCTGTTTCGGTGTCTGAAAATTCTTTCGGTAGTGCTAGATTAACATCAAGCGAGGACTGTCAAAATAACTAGTCCCAAAATTTCTATAGCACTGAGACTATGTCACGAGCTACAAGATGAAAATAAGTTATCGAACAAAATTGTACATATTATATATTATAATTAAACGTAACTAAACTGTAAAAATTGTCTTGAAATATAAAATACGAAGAAACTTTTTTCTCCAACCTAATAATTAAGGACTTCATTGTTACACAACGTTATAACCACAAACTGACCTTGTACAGTGAGTCCAAATTAACTGATAAACATACTTAAACATTTTTTTCGTAAGTAAATAAATGCATATTATAGATAATTATATAAACACTGAGACGATATAGAAATGAACTACATTCGTTACACAATATTGTGGTGGAGTTTGAACCCACACCCTTTGCGCAAGTGGCACGTTCATTATCGCCACCCGTGTCGTTTATAGTTATTACGACCGTAGACAGGTGATTGAATTCTAGACGCGTGAACTAACAATTTTAGGATTGCCTTACAAGTTGCACTTCTGCGTTTCGTCTGGGCGAGTGTGGTAGCCGGGGCCCACATTCTTAAGAGGTGGCAACGCATCCGTAACCCTACGGGTGTTGCAAATGTCCATGGGCAGGCGGTTATCACTTAACATCAGGTGAACCACCAGCTCGTTTGCCACTTCCTCTCTCTTATAGATTTTTTTTATAGTGCTAATTTAAGCTTAGTGGTTAAAGCGTCAGGCTGCGAATGCCGAAGACGCAGGTTCGATTCCTACTTATTCTACAAATTTTAAAGCACTCTCTTATATTTTTATACCCCGCAGTCAACATCTCTTATATTAGTCTCTGTCATTAGTCCTATCGCTTTCATGAGTCCCTTAATTTTTTTACTGTGATATGCTTCATCACAAAAGGGCAGGCTCGTCCGGAGTAGTACCATACCGCTCATAAGACGCGTAAAGATTATTGCACTTTTGCATTTCGTCTCGTAAATACGGTAACCTGGGCCCACTGTTATTAAATGGTGGGAACGCTCTGAGGGGCGGCTCGGTTGCAAAAACGAGTTTTTTACATGAAAAGAAAAGGAAAAAAAATCCTAAGAAATCCCTTCCTGAGAAACTGAGGTACTATATCCCAAATCTGTAATAGCTTACATGGCTTTTCGTGAACGCAGCCAGGCACACTGGCTAATACACCGTTTACGTAATGAAAATTTCCTGAGAAGAATATACTACTTTGCTTTGCCTACTGCACACTATATCGTCCGAAGTTAGAATAGTTTGCTTTGCCCACTGCTGACCTTCTCTTACCTGTTGAACATGGTGTCATCCAGTCGAGCTGCTTACTTGCTCAGACCAAGCTTTTAAATAAGTGTAAGGATTTCAGTCTCTCAACATGAGCGTGAAGAAATACCAATTCTTCTTTACTTTTCTCTCTGAGCATAACGAAAACTGTATTAATTAAGATGACTCAGTTGAGAAAGCATTTTTGACGTGACTTCGTTGTAATAATTTTACAATGTAAATAAAATCTAATAATTAAAAAAAAAACTGTTTCCATTCAGCTTTCAGCCGAAAGTTTTGGAGTGTCGTACACAAGGAAAGAACAGATGATTATGCAGTATACACATAATGCCTCCTAATAACCCTCTAGTATGCTCTCCAAGGTCTAATCTACTAGATAGGTAACATTTTTAAAGTAGCAAACTTATTCCTCGTAAGTATAAATACAAACCGAAATTGTGTTTTTTCGTTTACAGAAATAAAAAATATCTTACCGAAACTAATTATAATCTGGCGTTTTTTATTATATTTTCTTAAAAATGATTTTAATTATCAATCTTTACTACTATAATGAAATAACAAGAGCTTACATGATATTCAATTTATATTAATTCTTTTACCTGAACAGATAAGGACCATATTGTAGTGTTAAATTTTTCGTTGATGTCATGGCCTTGTGCATGAAAATGAAAACATTCCGCCCGTGATATGTTCATCTTAATAAACATTAAACGTTATTGAAATCATGGTTTTATATTGAATGCGGGTTGCTAGACGCAATTTTTGTTATTCGTTAATTTTTCAATCGAGTAAATTAGGTATTTTGTAAATTGATAAATTTTGTTTGTTTCAACGAAATGGCTTATTTCTGAACGTTTTCAACCGATATTACCCTTTTAATAGTAGTAACATACAAGTAAGTTTTACTAAGAAATCTTCATAACTTAATGGATTCCGAAGAAAAATCGGAAAAACAATTATTACATTTATTATACTCTAATATGGAAAAAATCCCATACGAACATTTTTCTTATAATTACTTTTATGAAAAATGTACGATTTTCATATTACTACGAATATCGATGGCCTCCACTAATTGGAATTATTTATTTTCATATTCAGATAATCGATTCTGAACCCATTATAAATTCTGATAATCCGATCAATGAAAAGAAAAGACAACAAAACGTCATCCCACGTCAGATCACGTTTAGATTTTTTCCGATAAAACTTGGCGACTAGGCGATATCTTACTGCGCATCGAGTTTTATGATCATGTCTGTACTCATATAATTTTTAATGACATCTACCTACTTTAGTTTAAAAGCTTAATTATAATAACGGCTTGGTTCAGTTAGTAGTCCGCATAAATGCTTGTCCATGTAATTGTGGTATCACTGTACTACATGCGAATTAGGTTCTAGTTTTGTTGCTGAATAAACTGACTTTAGTAAGTAATGCGTCTATTACTTACTTTACTTTACTTTGATTGATGTTTTTGCTTTCATTCTTAATTGATGTTTCGCTTTTAGACTATTAAAGGTTTAACTCGTGAAATGCGGACGAACTTAATGGAACATCGGCTTGTTCAGAGCGTTCCCTCTTTTCGTATCGAAAAAAGCGATTCGACTGATTGACAAACGTTGAGTAAAGTAAGCCGTTGTGCCAGACTTTGTGGTGGTTGAGACCTTTAAGGACGTTCTCGGTCAGGCGATAAATCTATGCGGGATAGAAGTGATTCGGAAGGAAACCGCATTGTTCGAACGGAATAAGGTCGTTGAAGAAGGCCTTCATCGTTTTTAAAATATAATAAACAAGCAATTGATGGTGTTGATGGGGCGTTAATTAGATACCTTGCTTAATAATGATACGTGATCATTTTATACTATAAGTAGCTGACCCGGCAAACGTTGTTTTGCCATATAAATTATTTGTAGGGTAGAAAAAATATTTGGGGTGGACCACCCTTAACATTTAGGGGAATTACAAATAGATGTTGTCCGATTCTCTGGCCGATATGCAAAATCGGTCGAGCAGTTTCGGAGGAGTTCAATTACAAACACCGTGACGCGAGCGAATTTTATATATTAGAAGATTATTTTATTAAATATTCTGACTATAATTAATTTATTAGTATTAAATCACACTTACGGCCACGATCATGCGCCTATGGCACCGAGGTTATCGCGCATTATTAAACTGAAATCTCAACAGCGTTTATCACAAATGCCATGTTAATAGCTACATTTTACCGTGGTTTATTGATTTGAGATATTTCTGGTGTTTTTTTTTAATTTCTTTATTAACATTTCATGTAGTCACGCTGGGTCAACTCAGATCGAATCGGGCACTTGCAAACATCATTTCGATATGTAGAAAATATGTTACCAATGACACGAAAGATCCTCGGAATAAGACATATCAAATGGTGAACGTCAATGCAATTATGGGCCAGTAATTTAAAAATAAACTCGTTCTCTTGCTGGCGTCAAGGTCGCCTTCTTTTTGTTTCTTTTGAAATAGTTGGAATAATTCAGCAATTTACTGTATTACTTGAATGGGTCCGTCTCCAACTTCAGAAACGGAGCCTAAGCCAGCAGTGTTGATTTCGATTTAAGAGCCAATCTTCTTGTCCCGTATTGTTGCATCTATACGAAAACAGATTTAGTTGAGCGTTGTAAGTTGGATCTATTAAACTGGTCCACGAGTTCTGTGGCGGCGGTTTGATTGTAATTAAGACTTGAATTTGAACCTCGTTAATTTGTACAATCTTCGCGGCTGCAAGTTTTTTTAATTGAAATTTTACTTCGTTTTGGTTTTAATTAGTCACTTGTTGTGATGCAGTTATATCGAAATTTGTTATCTGTGCTTTCCCGCGCCATTTGCGTGACGGCCTGACCAAGGTGACCGTTGCATCTGGCGGTAGACGCCGCCGCTTAGACTGTGCCACTGATAAACCGGGCGATAGACCAGACAGTTGTCAGGGGCCGTCCATTAATCACGTGATGTTTTTTTAGCATTTTAATTTTTAGCCCCCTCCTCCCATTTGCACTAGCCCACTCGCCCAAAATCACGTGAATTTTTTAGTAGCCACGAAGAGTCTTAAAATTTTTAGAATATTATCTTTAAATACAGGTTTAGAGTTTAATCTGATTTTATTCTGAAATTAAGCACCATGATAAAAATGTAACGGCGACTCAAGGTCAGACTACCCGCTGCTTTTCTGTTTAGAAATCGCGAGTTTCACGAAAAAATAAACACACGTGATGTCTTACTACACCTCCCCTCCCCCTCGTGATATTTTTGCCCCCCCCCCCCCCCCCCCCTTTTAGAGCCTCAAGTGATTAATGGACGGCCCCTCATGTGCTGACCAAGGACCTTTACGGCGCAAAGTGTACTATAATTTTCCGCTTGAGCGATAGTGACCTCGGGTAATTTTGCAATGCCCCCGCAATATGCAGCTGTGTTGTCGTAGGTTCTAAGACGGATAACGTAACGTTGCGTTGTTGCTGAGTGCGACCCGCGCTTTGTCCGTGTGCGTTTAATGGTGTAGATTTATTACAACCATCAAGTTGGAGCTGCACATTTTTCTTATTGGGGTCCATTGCTTATCCCTATGCAAATCATGTCGATCCGATGCTCCGTTGGTAAGTGAAAGAAGCACAAACAAATGAGCATAAAAGCATTTGAAATATTAGTTGATTTTATGAGTCGTAATAATGCTACATTGGCCTAAATCCTATCATATCCTACTACTAAATTCTAATACTAAATCCTAATCCTACATGTACGCAGGTGTAAGTACAATGTCGCTGTAATCAGATACAGCGACATTGTACCAATTTCATTTATATCGTCAACACCACCCGATTTCTTAACGCCACCAGCAACTAACACACAACTATAAAGAACTAACAGGAACCAAAGGAGCCAATCAAATCTTTGGTTTCATTTGACCCCTTTAGTTTGCACTTTTCTCCGCTTTTCCTGACTTAAAAATTCTGCAAAGACAATTTTAAGCTATTTCTATCATACCAAAGGAGGATTTGTCTTGTTTTTGTAAACTTATTGTCCTTTGAATACAATTCATGATTTATTACTTCAGTGCCTTGATGTTATAATTGATGCTTATTGATATATATTTAGTTTAGCAATTAGCAAACTCACAAGGTTATAAAGAAAAAAAATAACCGTAATAGTGTAATTTAAGTTAATGCAAGCATTAAATTATTATCCTGGCTAAATTTTATTATTCTGGCATCATTTGCTGCACTTACCATAAACTCTCACCATATCCTGGGTCGACTGGTAGAGAATGCCTTTGGGCATTAAGTCCGCCCTTTTGTCACCTTCTTTTACTGTAGGTTGGCAATAAAGATTAAATAAATAAATAAATTATTCTTTATAAAACAACTTATATTGCTTAAGTGATATTTCTTCATTCCCGAACAGTTTGATTATGCATGCCATTGAATAATATTTGTTTGTCTTTCCAGTGGAGTACGTGGACACAGAGTACAGTTTATGGCTCACGTGGTTCCTCACGCCGCTCATTGTGACCTTCCTGCTGCCTGCCGTCATCATAGTGCTGATCTACATCAGCAGCATCATCTTCCACCTTTACAGGCTATACAGGTGATCAACGTTTGTTCAATTCAACTCTCCTTCTCCCGTTCCTACATTTAGATGTACTTCTAATTCGTTTATCGATATTCTACCAATAGTTTCTCAATGTGTCTATTCATCGTTGTATAAATCATTGATATGATGGCAACACTTAGGCAAATTTCTATTTGAATCGAAATTGATTATTAACCAAATTGTCCCGATTTTTAGAGAAATTAGAATTTTTTGCCTTAATTTCTAGGTGAAGATTAATTATCCTTGCCTGTTAAAAGTATTCTTAACACAAATATCAATGTCAAAACATATCGTTATCAATTATCAATAATGGATATTTATCGATCTAGGATAAGACTTAAGAACACTGTTACACAAAATGTTCCGAGTGATGCCTTGATACTGATCATTTACGCCGGTATATTTACATTAATGCGTCTGTTGCAATAATCTCGGGTGAAATAATGGTTGATTTGTCGCAACCTTTGACACCCCATCAGGCGTTTCGGCCGTGATAGATTTTTTTTACACTATGACGCTGGACACGCCTTACATGATCATGCGTGCAACTAGCGACGACAGTTACTTCTTATAGCACAGATAATAAAAAATTATATATTATCTGTGCCTTATGTCGTTGGTCACGCATCGAAGCTGTGGCTCCTTCGATTCGGTGGTGGCTTTCCACTGTACTGATAAGACGTAGCCAAAACAAGCGTCTCCCGATGCCGTTCCCTTTTATTACGTATCATTTAACCGCTGATAAGAGTAATTGTCTACGGATGAGTAAGTGTGATGACTGTTTCATTATGCAAGACGAATTTGTAGAAAGTATTACATCTAGCATGATGGACTCGTGCAATATTTGTCGATAATGCCAGTCTAGACTCATCATTATCATCATTTCAGACGAGCTAGAGCTTTCAAAAGACGCTTGCGCGTTCTTATGAGACGTCAAATTTTACATAAAAATTATATATATAGGTTCGTAAGGTACCACCAGTTTGGAAAGCAAGTTTCTTTTGAGATGAGACTGGCAAGAAACTCAACAGTTGGTCTTTTTCCTCCTAGTCAGCACGAGCCAGCCATTCGAGAAACTTTCTTCCCCATTTGCTGTCGGTTCTACGAGCTATAAGGCTGGCTCATAGCCGCTTTACTATTCCAATGTTCAATGTTCATAACTATGCTAGAATACAGCTCTACGTACTGGAGAAGATTGTAATGTAATAGTAGTTGTGTAATATATGTTATTGTGTGTATGTTTTAATGTCTGCCTGACATAGTAAGTTCCAAGTAATATGGGTATGTGTGCTTTTATAAAGAACGTTATTCCGTATTTTCGAACCGATCTCTCTTTGCGTTGATTGAAGACACGAGACAGAACCACGATAAATTCTACGTCATCATGACCCGGTAATTATTGTATTAGCGGATAATTCCGAGATCATCCTCGAGGGTTTGCCGCTATTTGTAATGGAATTATAGACAATGTTGCAATACTCATGGATATTTTTTTTTGAATCGTTTGATCAGGTCCAATGCAACGGACGAAGAAAACTTTTATGTAACTATTTTTACTGATTTATCGTGTTTATGGCAACTTTCCTCTTCTGTCCCATGATCACGAATGCTGCAAAACATTCGCAAAGCCTGGAGCTAAAATTGAAATAATCGCGATGAATACATGAAAGTAGTTTTGTTAATTAGTGAGTAACGACTGGGACAAACTCCATAGGCGCTAAACCTATTTTGCGCGCTGTACGTTGGGTACGATTAACTCCATACATTGTTTGCAGAATGCGCGTGGTGGACGGCGTACAGAATGACTGGAGGCAAGCGGCGCGCCTCGCTGTCTGCGCTTTGTGGGACGCACACGGCTGGCTCTGGCATGGTAAGGCGGTCGACTGTACTTTTTTTTTTTTAGACTTCATGCACATAACTCTGTACATAGGCGGACTTAATGCTGACAGCATTTTCTACCAGTCAACCTTAGGGTGGTACCGAGATTTTGAGGTACTGATAGAAAACAAACCTAAATTTCCACAGCGCTAGGCACGTAAAAGTTCTAACATATCATTAGTGCGCTACTCATATAAAACAGTTTATATACAGCGTGTCGTTACCATCGCGACAATAAATGAACACACGTCTAACGCTACTTGCCAATAATCATAAAAAAATATTAACGTTAAACAAAATCAATAATTAAAAAAAAAAATATTTTTCAAACAAACTAATTAAGTAAAAAAGAAACAAAATTTGTAACATCCTATACAACTCGCGCCACAGCGTCGTATTACAAGCCTCTCTTTCTAACAGTGTGTTTTTTCTCTTTTAAATTCATTCAACCCATTCATATGCTTTGTGACCTTTACAAATGAACTTTTCGCTACGCTTTTATAAGTAAGGGTGTTCTAAAATTCTTTGTTTTGGAAAATTTAATAACTCTGTAAATATTGATGTTTAAAGAATTTAAATGTTTAATACAACTTTAAAAAGTTATCCCCTATATGTGTGTTCATTTATTGTCGCGATGGTAACGACACGATGTATATCACCACTTTGGAGAGTTAATACTTCGCACAAGTCTATACGCTTCTTCCCCACAGGCTACGACATCCGCGGCCTGGAGAACATCCCCGATGGGCCGTGTCTCCTGATCTACTACCACGGCGCGTTACCAATCGACATGTACTACTTAAACGCCAGGCTGTTCCTGTTCAAGCGACGCCTCATGTACACGGTCGCCGATCGTTTCATGTTCAAAATACCCGGTGAGTTGATGAGCGATTCAGCTATGACTTTCATTGAGTTCCCAGTTTCGTGTCCCGGTGTCGGAACCAATGGAATTGTTAGTTTTAAGCGCTGACTTACCACGTGGTCCGCGGTGCAGGAAAACATCGCAAGGAAACCTGCATATTTTCAATATAATAACAAAAACATATTTCGAAGATATGTGAAGCCCGATCTGCAGTGGGGTCGTGTGGTGGACTGTGTCCTAATATCTACACTCTGTACAGGGAAGCTTTTACCCAGAAGTGGAACACACTTTACTCACTCGACTCGTCTATAGGAAGGTTACGGTTACCTCACCCAACAAACGAAATTATAATACTTCTACTTATCGCCGAGCTTCTGTGAGGCCGTGGTACTTCTCTGGTCGAGCCTGCCCATTTGTGTAACGACCCTACCACAGTGAACTACTATCGGCTTTGTTACTGTCATCCATGGACACCTTAACAGCCGTGGTTTCAGTTATGCGATAAAATTCCGAGAAAGTAGGCCCCGTCTACCTCGCTCATTGAGTATAGTTAAAGTATAAATAGTTGTAATTTATGTGTATAAAAAAATACTAATACTAATAATAATTAAGTTACGCTTACGCTGCCCAACATGGAATGTTATTCGAAATAAAATCTGAATATTTTATATTTTTATTTCCTCAAACCTTTTTCTGTCGGAGTCAACGTCAATATTTCTTTATTCAAAATAGCTTTTTTAAAGCTCTTAGTGAACGCCGAAAAACTACCACCGGTTCATTAAACTACACTTACTGATTGATCTACTTCTGTTATGTCAATACAGCATTTACAGTACTTCCCAAATGTCTCATCGCGCTGGCCAAAGCCTGTCGATGAGAGTACACGGCTAACATTAAGACCTTCTAACATAGACTTATAGTCACCGAAATCAATAAGTAATTGTGGTTAATGATTTGTCAATTTGAATAAATCTTTTGCACAACCTATCCAGATAACGATGCGGGTAGCATTTATGTCCCAGCTTAAAAATTTTTTCTTAATATGTAGTCTATTAGTAATTAAACGTACTATCGGTGGGCTAATTACACAAACTAAACAATAGAGATCGTTATAAATTCGTGCGTCATGGATTCGCACAACGCAAGCTCATGCACTGAGTCATCCGGCGCTAAGCTACCCGACGCTTAGTGCACGACGCTAAGCCGCTCGACGCTAAGTCGTCCGACGCTTGCTCGTGCGACGCAAGCGCGTGCCTAACGGACCGGCTTCGTTCGCAGGCTGGTCCTCGCTGCTGGAGGGGCTATGCGTGATCCCGGGAACAGTGCAGACGTGCGCGGGCGTCCTGCGCGCCGGCAACTCGCTGGCCATATCGCCCGGCGGCGTGTACGAGGCTCAGTTCGGCGACCACTACTACAGGTTGAACTGGAAGTCGAGGATCGGGTTCGCGAAGGTCGCCCAGGAAGCGAAAGTGGTGAGTGAACCACTCGTTTAAAATATACATATAAATTGGAAATCTTAAAATTTTATAGTGCCAATCTCTGCACTTAAGATTAAATATTAAACTTTGTACAAAAAGTACGAAAAGTTTGTCGCCGCTGTGGGAATCGAGCCCACGTCTTCGGCATTCGCGGTCCGACGCTTTAGCCACAAAGCTGCGACTGATTGCCACACCGAAGAAAATCTTAACGTCTTTTATCTACATTGTTTTTTAGCATTTGAAGCAAATACAATGCATATCGTCATTTGAAATATCATTTAATGTAACCGCCAAAAGGCGACTTTACAGGAGAGGCAAAAAACTAAATTACGATTCACAAAAATAGTTGAAACTTTTTGCATACTTATCCTATCGCAACGCTGTTTGGAGCACTTTTTCAAAATTCTGACATTTGATTTCTGAAAGAAACCATAAGAAGCCTACTATTATAAAGCCTACTAATGGCACGGTGGTTACGTTATTTTTTTTTTTATATATCGCGTTACGTTAAGATTTTTTGTAATAAATAATAACAGCTATAACGTAACTCACAGAGTTTTCAAGACGTCGACATAAGTTGTGATGTATTGGCTGTAGAAGTTACGTACTTAATCTCTTAAAATATGGGCAAGATTAGAATAAATTCAATATTTTTATTAATTTAAGTTAAAAATTCTTTTTGATGAATACCAACAATTTTCAAGTTTTTCATTATAAATTTTACATCCATCTCATTTAAATAGGTTTTCTTAATTATCCTTGTTCTAACTCCCCCTTTTTCCATCGTATTCTCCCCAGGTGTAGTAACTGAATCCATTTTGAGTTTTGGGTTCATAACAGAGTCAAATTATAAACTGCACACTTTCTTGAGTATTAAAGCAGCATACTCTGGCCATGTGGGGTTATAAAGGACTTTCTGGAGATCAAAAATTTTTTGTTAAAACATTGCCCTTACTATAGGATAAATTTGTCCTGTGTTGCAAGGACGTTTTACAAACATAAATTTCACGCGGACAAACACCCAGATGCGAAACAACTATCTGTGGGTCACACAAATAGTTGTCCCGTGTGGGGATCGAACCCACGACCCCCGACGCTGAAGCCAATACCTTGGCAACTGCGCCACGGAGTCATCAAAATTAGTTATCACAGTGTAGCTGTCCTTATCTACCAGATATATACCATGCTATAAACGAAGTGAAATATATTCTGATGTATTTCACTTCGTTTATAACATGGTTTTTAGATGTTTTTTGTAATCATGGGTATCCTTTTCATTCATAACTGCATAGAAAAATTACGGAAAAGACGTTCACTCAGATAGTCATGTGAATTGTCTTTCACAATATTATACGTAAAGAAGGCATAGTTTAGTCACACTTAAAATATTGAGATAAATATGATAGTACTGGCAAATGTTCTATGTATTTCGTAGCAAAATTGTTGATATTTTCATTGTATTTATTGTCAGCATGATGAGTTCGCTATTACATTTTTACAAGATTGACTCTTACATTACCGTCTTTGTTCCACATTGGGCCAAATTCATCGTTACATTAACCCATACTTTGATCATTCTCATAAAATGTATTATACATTACAAAAATGTATGAAAATTATTAAAAAACAGTCGGATTTTTTTTAAAGTAATCGCCATTATTTTCATCATAGCGAGATTTTAAAGATACCAATCGATGGAGCGAAAAATTTGCAGACGAACTGTATATTTACCTCAATTTCGTCATTTTGGCGGTTACATTAATTGATATTATAACTGACGATATAAATTGTCGAAAAGTTTATAGCCGCTGCTCCGTGTTTTCTTTATGTGAGAAGGTGGCAAGCGAGCTGGTGGTCCACCAGATGTTAAAACCTTTTATCGTTATACCCACAATACCTGGCTCGGCAACGAATCTATTATCGACGTCAGACTTCAGGCCTAAAGCGTGGAATGAAGTGATATTAGTCATAATGTACATGCCCGAGTCGCAACAGCCCCCCCTCCCCTCCCGTTTACGGTGACATGATACTCAAGTAACGCATAGCGTCCCCCCAGCCCATAGTGCCGATGTTCACGGTGGGCTAGCCTCTCGTGGACATTATATTATTAGTCGCAACAGCCCCCCTCCCGCCGCATACGGCGTAGCACTAAAGTAACGCACCGCTGCCTCCGCAGCCCATAGTGCCGATGTTCACGCGGAACGTGCGCGAGGCGTTCCGCACGGTGGGCTGGCTGCGCGGCGTGTGCCTCCGGCTGTACGCGGCCACCAGGGTGCCCCTGGCGCCCGTCTACGGCGGCTTCCCGGTGAAGCTGGTCACGCACCTCGGCGAGCCGATACCGTACGACGGCGCGCTCACGCCCGAACAGCTGCAGCGGAAGGTGAGCGCTTGTTAGAACACCCCCCCCCCCCCTGCCACCCCCCTCTGCCCCGATCCTGTTCACGGTTAAAAGGACCCCGCCCCTGAACCCCCGCTCGAACAGCTGCAGCGGAAGGTGAGTGCTTGCTAGAACACTCCCCCTGCCCCCCACCCCCCCGATCCTGTTCACGGTTAAAAGAACCCCACTCCTGAAGCACCGATCCGAATTGGTGCAAGAGCTCCGTTACATTGGTCCTCTGCCCTCTCATTTCTGCTGTCAGGCCTACAGTCGCCCACACTTGTATACGTATTCGTTGACCACGTGACTGCGCACACTCAAACTGAAATACGCGTGCAGATGAACGAATACACGAGTGGGCGTGTCCTTTGTGAACGTCCGAGCCGTTCTAACAAATCATGTGCTGGCGTTTTGTATGCTATCTTGTTGTATTAGTGATGCATACAAAACTCTCACACACATGACTCCATGCGGCGAGATCACGCACGTAAACATGTGTGCCCCTATTCATAGTGTTTTAACAAGACCGTTAAAAAGTAAGACTCTTTACAAGATCGAAACTTAAATATTGAATAGTATCGTAACGTAAAATAAGTTATTACAATCCTTGATACATATACAATCCTTGAATTCATCAAGGAATGTGATAATAACCAGTCTACAGTTATTTTAATAAATGTGTTTTATTCAAATATTATATTAAATTATATCATTTTAATTTGCTGTTTGACGTCTTGTTAATTATAAAGACAAACTTCACCAACAAGTCGGGGATACTATTTAAACTGTCTGCATAATATTTGCAGGTAGCGAGTGCAATAGAGAAATTAATCGAAGAACACCAGAGGGTACCTGGGAACATACTTCTCGCTCTAACGGAGAGGATATACGAAATGCCGAAGAAGAGAAAGTATTCAAAACCAGTCAATGGCGCTTGCCAGAACGGCTTGCAGAAAGAGAAGGAAGACAGCCCGTGCGGCGAGTGCGACAAAGACAAAACGAACAGTGTCGTAATGGACCGAACAACGCTTTCGAATGTAGATCTTTGTAAGTTTTTGTATGTAATGTGTATTTGATATCAATAGGGTTTGATCTAAGGTCTTATTGTACAGTGTCATGGATAAAAATTAGGAGCTTTGAATATAGGAGATGAATGGAGCGAGTAGGACAAACATAATTTTTGACAGACAATTTTATATTGATCCATGTCACAAGTCAGGCAAAGACTTCTTATTATCGGCCCATATTTTTATTTTTCTGCAACTGAGTAAAGAAAATTGGTATGGATAAAAATAGTTTAAATAAATATCTTATTACTAAGTATATCCATTTAAAGCTGCTACGACGTTTTATAGAAAAAAAAACATTCGGCTTTTTAATTTTACAATAATTATATAGGAAGATATGTTATTCTAATAGGAAAATTAAAACTAATAAGTTTGGTTAATGTCGCCGGGTAACAGTTGTTATATCTCTTTTACTTATACGTTTAATGAAGTTAACAGTTTTTAGCGCCACTAGTTCTTAGAAAGGTTTACGTATTGTTAAATTCAATGGGTAGAATTTCAATATTGTCTCACCACAGACTTTTACGAAGTACCTATATTATTTAATGTGGCATTAATTCTATGGGAAATAAAACCATGTTAACTAAAGGTACTATGTACTAGTGCCAGACTCTAATAATCATTTGTGTGTAGTTTACTTTTTTTATATAGTTTAAACTTTTCATTTAAAAGTTGTATTTATACGTCTCGTTTTTCCGTGTTTTTTTCGAAAAGTCGAGATGTTAACATGTATATAATACAGTTGTGTCGTAAAAAACATACCAAAAAACCGCTTACGGCATGATAACACGTTGAACCGACCCCACCTAGATGGGATAAGTGCAAGAAGACGATGAATGAACATGATAATACATCTGTATATTTCGTATTTCTCAAAAATCATTCCCTCAAATTATTCATTTAGAATTAAACTATATATATATATATATATATATATATATATATATATATATATATATTAGTAAGGTTTTGGTGAAGCAGAAGTATGAAAATTATTGTAGAATTCTTAATTGTAACTATTAATTTAAGACAGTTCAAAATATGATTCTCATTATAGATTTCTGTATCTTTACAATTATATATTTCTAACAGTTATACATAGTACTTAATATTGTGAAATATTTTGGTAATCTTGAGGTGTTTTTTTTTATTCAATATGTAGACTGGAATATAATAAATAGATACTAAAATGTACAATGCTGTGAAATCGAAATATTGTTTTATTTTAGCTGGTGGAAGTTTCATAATTTGATATAGTTTTTTTTTGTGTAATCTGTGAATTATAACCATGAACCACACTTGAGTAGTTGAAGAGAACGGCACCTTATTTATTGTATTTATAAGCATTTATTACCGGACAATGCCATATAGTGCATTTATAAGTTTATCGTTGTTTGTATGATTGAAAAGCAAAGATAAAGTTGGCCTTTAGGACAATCTTAATGCGTTAACTCATCAAAGTTATGAAAGACTGCCGGAAGGGTCCCAAAATATTTTTGTACGACATTACTATAGTATTTGTAGTTTTTGTAACATATAATAATTGACAGTGTTCCCTGATTTGTATGAAATGTTACTCTCGTTTTCAATTCAAAGTTTTATTGCCCTTACGACGGATACGTGATAACAGAGAAAATTCGCCGATTCTCGTGATAAATATTTCTATTTCTATTCAATGTATCTATGTATTAACATTAGTAGAGTAAGTGTGTGATGAGCAGCCAAATATCAATATTTAATATAAAACATATGAAATGTATTTTATCTGTGACTTTTACACGCTAATGGCTGGTTTTCTATTTGGTGTTTTAACCTAATTTTTCAATCAGTGTATGGAGTTACAATAATATGGAGGAAGTTTCGCAAAGCGTATTTTTCCTTTAGGACAAATAAATAGATAATGCTAAAGTCATTATGAAAAGACTTTTCAGTATATAACTTACTACTTAACGTTTTTTCTATAATATTATTGCGAAAAAATCTTTTCTATCTTTTAAATAACCCCATAGGCCATAGCCGCAATGTAATAATATGTGTAATAGCTTAATTCTAATGCGCCATTTATAAAACTCATATTTTTCGCATATTATTAACAGGTATACTGTGTATTTATACTTAATTATTAACGTAATAAATATGTAAGAAAATATTTTCCATAAATGACTTTTATTTAGACTAAAACTAACCCAATACGACGATTGAAGATTGTCTACTCTTAGATTGTCTTATCTTATCTGTACAAAATATTGATATAAACATGGTATATTGAATAACCATAATTTTATTTGAATTTTGTTGTAGATCCCAAGTCAGTTAGCTTCTGCTTGAATTTAGCTTATTTGTGGAAGTATGTTTATGATTCAGTTTTTTTTTGCTAGTTTCAGCAAGCACTCAAGACGAAAGTAAAAATATTTAAATTTTATAGACAATATTGTCGAAAAGCTTTCGGTACTGCGGGCGTTTACGTTCCCAAACAGGACTATCGTGTACATAAATTATTCATACTATTGCGTTTCTTTAGGCGAGGTAACCGATATCCCGGTTTAAAGAACGAAGTTTCGATGTCCACGTGTGTTGTTATATTGTTGGTAAAATAATAAAAGTACTCTAGAAAGGGATAAAACTTTATTCAATCCACATATATCAAATCTCTGTATATTTATGTTTCGTGTCGCTAAAAATCGGTCATCAATGTTCATAGGAAGTCGTTGTAATTGGTGACGTCGTCGAACTGCTGCTGCGACGAGGGACGCACCACACCGACGGGCGGTCTGTACTGAGGCTGGGGGACATTGCACGATTTAGGGATGCCGAAAAAATATCGATATTTTTTATAAAACATATCGATATTTTTAGCCGATATATCGATATAAAATATTCAATATGGTAATCGTATCAAAAACGATATTTTTTCAAATTCGAATCCGGGACAGAGTCCGTACATTCAAACATTTAATACTTGGCAAACTTTTTTTTTGGATAACAGGGCCTAAAAAGAAAATATCTATATATCGATACCGATATTGATATTTTTATAAATATCGATATATTTTTTTTAATTTTCGGCATCCTAGCATTTAAACGCTCAGCATTTAAACGCTCTTACTTAAATGCGCTCCAGTGAATTTGGCTAGGGGTCGTTGCCCGATCAAACCCGAGCCTAACATCTATAAAACACGAAAGAGTATAACAAATACGATCACAACTGCTCACGGGCGTGTTGTGGCAGCAAGACGAAAAGAGGTATTTGATGGCGAATGCATGAGATGGCAAAACAAAACAAAACATCTTCATACATAACGTTACCTCCCCTATAGCTAAATTGCGTACAGGGCAATTAATGACTTCTGATTCATACAAAATAATCATATAATCTGATTGTGTATAAAATTAAAACGTGGTAGTAACATACCATAAAAGTGGTGGACGGAGAACTTCAATAATGATGTATGTTTCGCGCAACAGTTTTAAATGTTTTATCATCTGATTAACGTGGTAGTTACTGGACGATAACTGTTTTTTTTAATGTTTCATTTAAAAATTGTAAAGCAACTTAGCACTCACTTTGTTAGTCAAGCGTGTTATAGCGTGAAGCGTTTATCTTTACTTATGATTGAATTTATTGAAAAAGAAAAAATGAAAGCGTCTGTGGTTTTTAGTCAAAGTTTTAGTAATAGGCTCGTTGTGTTATTTACAAGGAGAGTGAAATAGTATAAATTCGATTTTGAATAGGGAAAACATGCAAGTCTCGAGAAAATAAAACATTTACTTAACTCCGCATATGTCTGCCCGTTGAAGTGTTTCGTAAATTTCACAAGTATTTTTCAGACACGGCAAAATTCTAGTGCGAATTAAATTTATTGGAGTTAATAAATTTATGGGCATCAAGTAAATGTTTCTTTTGTAAATTATGTACACGTTTTACTGCAGACATGAGTTTCTAAATCTTGCTTTGGCCGACTTTAAAATCAGTCACAATTGTGTCACATATCATTTCGAATTTACGAAAAAGCGCCACTGGGTACCAGAAAATGCTAAGGTTATGCACCTTCCTTAACAGTTGCTGGAAAATGTCTGCAATAACCATCAAATCCAAAAGCGGCAACACAACGAGGGCTCAATGTGAACTAAAACTCGAGAGACTAAAAAGACGATAATATTACGATGAATATAATCAAAAACAAAATTCAACTAAACAGTTTCAGGTATACAATCAACACTCGTGGTCATGCCATAAAAATCAACATGATGATGAACAGGCGTCGAACATTATTACACTAATTTAATCTTATCATTGATTATTATTATTCAATGGATAAAATATTGTTACTATATGATCACTTCAACTCCACATCAGACAGCGCTTGCTTTTAATTCATTGTACTCGAACAACCTAAGTTCGAATTCCGGTGCCAGCACCAATGAAATTGTTGATTTTAAGTAAATATTTCAAAGATATTGGAAGTCCTCCAATATTAGGCATCGAATTAGGGCATAAAATTTATTCCCTAATTCCACCTGTAGAGGAGTCCTTTGCCAGCAGCAGTGGGATATGTTTAGGCCAATATTTTACTTTACTATGTAATAATGTCACGACACCACATATGAATGAGTAAATAAATTATATTGGACGTTTATGAATGACATGTGAAATTATTCATTTCGATATTTCTCTACAGATTAATGTAAGAAATCGAACTGAATCAAAATATTTAACGGCTAAAATTAGTCGTAACCGTTTTTATGCGGATGAAAAAAAAAACCGCCATACGAAGCAACAGTGGAAGAATGAATTTTGAATGATTCTCAAAAAGGTATAGTAACTTTTTAGGTATAATTTCGTCTATTGAATTCGGTTTCGAGTCATTCATGAGCGTCCAAAGTGGGCAGATAGGTGGTTGGAAGCATTACTTATGCGTGCGGGGGTATGGAGGCGCGTGGCGGCGGTCACATGTGCGGCCGGCCCCCGCGCGGCGCTTGCTGCTGCTAGAAACACGAGCTCACTCAGCTGAGCATGCTCGGCGGGGCACTGAGCGCGCTCAGACCCGGCCCGAGTGCTCAGCTGGCGCTCAGGCCGGGCCATGTGCTCAGCTGGCCCGCCCCGGCTAAGAGCCTGCTATGCTGACGCTACACGTCCAAGCTCTCCGGAACGAGGCAACCTATTTGCTGCCAGTACCATCTGTATTCTCGACTTTGTCTGACCTGGACAGTCAGTATGGCAAAAGCTACCGCCGCTTGGCTGGTTAGTGGCATAGCGTTAGGCCATGTTAGTGGAGTAGATGAAGAGATCTGAACATGCTCAAGTTAAGCAAATTATAATAGACAGGAACTTATATTTAGTTAACAAGCCAGTCATATATGGGCTTGTATATACAGTATCAATGCACCAGATAGACACTACCCGAGGATGGAAAGAAAATTAAATGAGTCATTAAGAATCTTATGTAAAAATATTAATTAATTTCTCTAAAAATGTAGCTAAATTGCTAAAGCCCAACTGAGCAAATTTAAAACATACAATTACATTATATAAAATAATATTCTGTAAATACAATATTCTTTAAAGATATTAGATACTCTGAGTATTCTCATAAAAGATATTTGTTATTAGATTACTAAGGGAACATAGTGTTCATATGGTTTGAGCACGCTCAGTAAAGGCTAGGCTATATATGATAAACTAAGTTAAAACATGATATATGAAGTGGGAATCTAAGTAAGACATTTTAAACATGAGAATAAAATTATTGTATGTAAATCACAAAAAAAGGTATCATGTGAAATATATAACAGGCGTAATCTTTTTTTCAAAAAAAAAAAAAACAAATCTAGAGCATACAAATACATTTCTAAATTATTATTTGGGAAAAATGAAAGAACTGTCAGAAGTGAAAATACATAGTTTGGTGCTAAGTTCATGTTAGTGATCAAATGTGGCCATAATAAACACTTATTGCCTTTCATATATATGTGTTATTTCGTACGGCCTGACCAGAAAATTAAAAACCTCCCACGTTGTGGGAAACCCATCTATTTTGTTGGCAACTTGCAAAGCGAATGTCGCGCCTGTATCCATGTGTAGATCGGATTTTTGGCCACGGTATAATAGCTTATTTCATTTGCGTCTCGACATTACTGAATACATTCAGTCAGAATACGATTCCATTCCGTGGAGTTTTACACGTGTCATGTGCATGTATGTGTATACCACTCGCATATCGCTTATTTAGGGACAAATGAGCGTGCACATAACTGAGGCACGTTCCAGTGACACATGCACATGTTACATGTCGTCATGAGCACCCTGTCATGCGTCATGCGGAGCGCGTTACCTGCTGCAGAAGGTTCCGGAGGCCCTGGTTGAGGGGCTGCATGATGCGGGGCGGGTGGCCGGCGGCGCCGCGCAACTGCTGCTGCAGCTGCTGTTGCAAATGCTGCTTTCTCTGTTGCTCCTGCAGAGTTGCAACGGCCCTTGTGAGCTAACTGTGATTTTTTAATGAAACAAGCTAATAACCTCTTAACAGAGTTGCAACGGCCTTTGTGAGGTGACTGTCCCTTTTTAATGAAACTATCTAACAACCGCTTCGTCTAGTCGATCGGCTTGAGGACACCGGAATACCAGAAAGGAAGAGTTACAACAGAACTAATAACTTATACAGCGTGTCGTTACCATCGCGACAATAAAAAATGAACACACGTCTAACGCTACTTGCCAATAATCATAAAAAATATAAAACAATAATCATAAAAAATATAAAACGTTAAAAAACCCATAATTAAAAAAATATATTTTTCAAACAAACTAATCAAATAAAAAAGAAACAAAATTTGTAACATCCTATACAAAATCAAAATCAATGTCTTTATTCATCATAGGAGCATTACACTCGCTTATTGATAGTCAAAACACTACCACCGGTTCGGAAAAGAAAGCCATTGTACTGAGAAGAACCGGCGAAAGAAACTCAGCGGGCTTTTTTGTTTTTAATTTTTTTTTAATATAAGCAGTTTGACATGAATTCATTAAAATACAATATAAGGACTCTGATTGAAACAGCCTCTCGCGATTAGTTCATTACCAGAGTGTGTTGTCATTTAAATAATCATTAATATTATAGTAGCGTTTAACACACAAACGTTCTTTTACTATTTTTTTAAATTTAGCTATTGATGAATTTTGAACGTTTTCTGGAATTTTGTTGTAGTAAACGTATACATTGTCCCATAAAAGATTTACTTATTTTGCGCAGACTATTTGTGGGTAGGTTTACAACTACAACTGACTGATTCATACATTCAGAGACGTTTTCAATCGTTGCCACAATGTCGCATTACAAGTCTCTCCTTCTAACAGTATGTTTTATTACTTTTAAATTCATTCAACCCATTCATATGCTTTGTGAACTTTACAAATGAACTTTACGCTACAGTTTTTAATGTAAGGTTGTTCTAAAAATGTTTGTTTTGTAAAATTTAATAACTCGGTAAATATTGATGTTGAAAGAATGTAAATGTTTAATACAATTTTAAAAAGTTATCCTCTATATGTGTGTTCATTTATTGTCGCGGTTGTAACCTATGTTGTAAAATTGCAAATCTTCGTTTATATTTTTTGTATGCTGTATCATAAACAAATAAAAACAAAAATTTTGTCCAAAAATTTAAAATAAAATGTGAAGGGTGAACAACCCTTACCACTTAAGGGTATCTAAAATGCATATAAAATTTGGTAAAAATCATTAAAGCCGTTTCTGAGGAGTAAGGTAACTAACATTGTGACATGAGAATTTTATATGTAAGATAAATTGTGCAAATACGAATCTTTAAATATATTGTAGACCTTTTTTACTTTTTTAGATATTTGACAGATCCGCGTTTTGAGGGTTGCAGTAAATAAGTTTCCTTACTTCGAGTGTTGGTTTTCGGCGAGCGATTACCTCGAGTTGCTTATAATGCTGCTCTTGCTGCTGGGCAGCGTGCAGGTGGGACATGATGTCCATCTGGGACTTGAACTGGGCCTCCTGCTGATGCGCCGCCTCCAGCGTCTGCTGCAGGTGCTGTATCTTCTCCAGGTTCTGCTGGCGTGCCGCCTCCAGGCCGTCCAGCTGGGTCACTGACCTGGGGCCCTTGCCGCCCACTTGCCCCCCCATCGAGTTGCCCATCATCATGCTCTGAACAAAGGAACGCGCATGAACATAGATTAGGCGTATAACTAATGGATATTTATGCGAGCAATAATAAATTTTTCTCCTTTCTCTCTTATAACGTACAACGAAATTTTATATCAATATATACCTATAAAATTTTGGATGTTATAATTTTTCAACTCGAGGCTTTTATCATACTGTACCTATTTAAGGTCATTGTGCAATCACTGAGATATCACAACACAACATACAGAAGGCTAACCAAATATCGGCACACCGAAAATATGCTTTTTTCAACTTTCAACAAAATTATTTAACTCATATTTATACTCTTACGTATCTTTGGTTAGACGTAAAAATTAATGAATTATAAAATGTTAGGAACTTAGAACCAATTCTATTTCAGACAGACAGTTAATTTTAATATTAAAACAGTTAGTATCATAAGAACCTGCGAATGCTGTTGCATCTGAGGCTGCGTCATCCCTTGGGCGGAGGCGGGGCCGGACATACCCACCACATTGCCGCCTTGCATGCTGCCGGGCTGCATGTTACCGCCCTGCATGCTGCCCGCCTGCATGTTACCGGGCTGCATGTTGGCGCCCTGCATGCTGCCGCCTTGCATGCTGCCGCCTTGCATGCTACCGGGCTGCATGTTTCCTGGCTGGAGAGCTCCACCCAAAGCGCTGCCGCCCATGCCACTGGACGACATTCCAGCTGTTGTCATTCCGCTCGCACCTGTTGAGTTTGATGAGTTGATTCATATCGAATTTGTGAAATAAAGTTTGAATCCTAATTTCTCATGGTGGTCGATACTGAACCGGGGAGGGCTTATTGCAATGTCCCTGTAATAAGTAAAGGGGTTACCAGAAGTACTTCATACTAAAACTTAATCGAAATAAGTCTGTAAAAACAAAAATGATTGATGAACATTGGTCACATGATGGACTACATAAAACCATCGGAAGGGAGGCCTTTTCCAGCAGTGGGATATATGAGCTGTAACCTTACATTTTTTTATGGACGTTTAGAACATATTATTTTATCTTAAAAACTATGCTAGATGATATAACTCATATGGGAGTCCGTACAGTACACAAAAATAAATTACTGAGTCAAAGTTCACCCAGACTTGGAACACGGTGACCACCTACCATTGAGCTGTCCGCACGGTCATTTATAAAGAAAATGGGGTCCTTCCTCACCGGCCATCGTGGCGGTCGGCATGTTGCCGGCCATGGCACCCGCGGCGCTCACGTTGGCTGGCAGCTGTTTGTTTATGATCTGGGTGATTTTCTGCTGCTGAATGACCTGTGGGAATGGTTCAATAAACAGTTAAACAAAGTCGAGGAACGGGCGACATCTAGCGGATTATAGCGAAAGGTGTGGCGTACGATCCCTATGTATTTGACGTTTAATTAAAAGTTAAAAAAGGTTCATAATCCTTTACTCGGTCTACGCAGCATTTGAGCCTTTTTAAATCTACCGCCGAGCCGTTATTTAAATTAGTTCATAGTCACTGTCAAGTCAACTGTGCACTCTGTTGTTCATGTAAAAATTCTCCCAAAAAAAAAAAAATTAAAACAGCTGATTAAATAATATCCAGGCAATCAATATTTTAATAACATCAGAAGAAAGCGCAATGCAACATAAGCCCACGCAACATTTATTTCGACATCAATGAAAAAGGCACACTCTTTAGTTATTGAGTATAAATAATTAATATTGCTTTAAAAATTACTGTAAGGCATAGTTCGGTAGTAAGGATATTGCGTTTTTATCTGTGCGCTATTTTCCGGTATGAAGTATATAGATTATTATAATCATCATTTTACATACAAATCGTACTCACTTTTCTTAGTCTGTCGACGAAGGTCGCCTGGTTGTTCGGTATGAAGCCTAGGTAGGCCTTTTTGTCTGGCGTGTACAGAAGTATCAGCACTTTGATATCGCACTGCGGGGGCGAGGACATAGGGGAGAAATGAACGCACCCGGCCTGCGGATGAAAAACTCATCTATTATTATCAAATAACATGTTATACTTCTTTGGCGTCACTATACAGGTAATACGCATACACTATTATGAAAGGAAACAAATAAATAAATAACAAAAAAAATACCGATTTTTTAAAGAAAAAGATGATTTAATGATTATTTCATAAACATTTCTATCAACTTAAATAAATTCAAAGAGTCTATAATTTTTTTCGTTGTCTCTTGTCGCTCGCGCATGGCGTGTTCATTAGTGTTATTATTCTTATAGTATAAAGTCTTGGGGATTTCTCCATTCAGATTATTCATCTTTAGTTATACCGCCATTTTTAACTTAAAAACCACGCATTAGTGACATTTATAGAGCGGCGTATTTACTTAGTCACTAATGATGGAGGGATAAGGAACATCCTCATCCTGACAACACCTGAATTACGTTGTAAGTGGTTTTTGCTATGATTTTTTACGACCTCCCTGGGCAACAAGCACCAAAATCCGGAACAACTATCTGGGGCTCACGCAAACACTTGTTCCGTGTGGTAATCGAACCCACGACCCCCGACGCCAAAGTCAATGGTATACCAAAGGCTCCACCGAGTCATCATCACAGGATACAATGGACGGATACTCACAAAGCCGTTGACCATGACCTTGGTGAGAGCGTCGAGCGCCTCGTTGGGCTGCAAGTGGAATAGCACCGACTTGCTGTCCTTGAGGTACTGACCACCGATGTTGCTGATCAGCTGCTTCGGCATCAGCTGCATCAGCAGTTTGTTCGGCCACGTGTCAACCTTCAGCTCGGGCTCTATGTCCTTGGAATTCGCTGACACCTGCCGAGGAGTAAGTGACGATCAATAGAGCCTCATCATCATTTCAGCCTGTTTGAGTCCACTGCTGAACAGAGGCCTCCCCCACAGACTGCCACGAAGCACGATCCCGCATCCATCACATCCATTCTCACCTGCATCCATCGACTTCCCGCACACTTGCACTGGTCGTCACTCCAACTAGTGGGGGGTCGTCCCACACTGCGGTGGCCGCTATATAGGGCTTATCACTTGATCTATCATCACCTGATGTTAAGCCATAACCGCCACCCATGGACATTTGCAACACCCGTAGTGTTGCAGATGCGTTGCCACCTTTTAAAAAAGTGCGCCCCGGTCACCTCCCGGACCAGACGAAACGCAGAAGTATAATTATTCCACCTCACGACAGTCCTGTGAGGTAGTGTTACTGACCCAGGCGGACCTGCCTATTTGTGCAACAGCGAACACTGTTGCGTGGCTCTACCACAGTTGATTGGTAAGACCATGCAAGTTCCTAAGTGACGATCAATAGAGCCAATCAATAGTGTACGACGACGGTAACCGCGACCCATAGACTTTCGCAACAAAGGAGTTGCAGAAAAGCCAGCCTTATAGGTATGTAGGGGGAACTATTCTTGAAAGCGGCACATAGTTTAAGGGCTTGAAATGGAACGGACAACCTTCTATCCTGAAAATAGGTCTGGTGTGCAATTCTGTAATACAATTGACACCCACTTATAAATAACTAATGCAAATGACAAAGCTGTCTAGTGACATAAAAAAGAAAAATACAGTGTATTTTGGGATGGTACTTGGATCGTTTTTGCGTGCATTTATGTATGATATATTAGAGGTGAGTCGTACTATCAAAATCACGTACTGAGTTTTACGCGTACGAGTTCGTGTAGGCAGCTTTTACAAAATGTTTGAAGTTTTTTGTGGAATGTCATTTATTTTATTACAAAAGTTACTACATGTAACAAGAAACGACTTTCTGGTCTTAGCCAGTCTCAAGTTCGGTACTTCCGGTGTCACCAAAGACTCATCGACGCTATAGGGTATTAATTTGTAAAAAGATATATTTACGTAAATACAAGTTCATGATTATGTACAGCGATGGGTGTTGTTAAATAAATGAAAATAACAGTATTTAAGGACACATTTTTACATATCGTTCTCTTGTCGCAAAATAAGCAACGCTTTTACTTTGGGTACTAGATAACTGATTAGCATATTCAAACATACTTTCTACTACTTACTTACTTACTACTTATACTAATAGAAAAACATTCACACAAAATATTTTTCCGGTAGTGGGGAATCGAACCCGCACCCTCTGGCGCAAGAGGCATATCCATAAAGGATTTTTATTTTTTCTCACGTAAAAAAAATGATCACTACCCACTAGGCCAATCGAGTCGTCAGTTCCAGTATGTACACTTCTCTACTGCGTCAGTGCGTGCGCGTTAATGAGTACGTGTGTGGGTGCATGCGTGTGCGTGCGTGGGTGCGCGCATACGCGTGTGTGCGTCTGCGTGTACACGTGCGCGTGTCCACTCGGGACGAACCTGACACGGCAGGAGCTTGGTGACCTTCTGCTGGTCGCCGGGCGCCTTGCCCTTCTCCATCCACTCGAGCACTCCGCTCCAGATGTATGTGCGCTGCAGGGGCGGGCCACCTGCCGCGCTGGAACCGCCCGCCGCCATCATGCCGGGCATCCGCTGCATAACCGCCTGATGACGAAATGGCGTCACTTCAAAGACTAATCCACGTAGTCTATATGGTGGAGCCACGAAACAGTCTACGCCGTTGCACGAATGGGCGGTTACGTCCGGAGAAGTAGCACGAGTCCACGACCTCACAGAAGACCAGCGTGAGGTGGAAGTATTTTATTATGCGTTCAGTCTGGTGAGTGATTTAGCCGGTGTCCACTATATTAAAAGTTGGCAACGAATCCAGTCGTGTGAGAATCGAACCCACGAAGCCAATACCTAGGCAACTGCGTTGCATAAGGCAGCAGCGATAACGATTGCTCGGTGATGACCGTTGCCCAGTGATAACCGCTGCTCAGCGATAACGATTGCTCAGCGGTAAACGCTCAGTTCGGCGCGGCTGGTCACCTGGGCGGCGTGCGCGGGCGGCGGCGGCGGGTAGGAGGGCTGCGCGAGCTGCGTGAGCAGCGCCGAGTTGTTCGCGTACAGCGGCTGCCGCTGGCCGACGGGCTGCGGCAGCCAGCCGGCACGGACCGCCCCCGCGCGTGGAAACACCGCCGCCACGGGCCGGGCCGCTGCCCCGGACATGCGCGCCTGCCTGTCGCATGGAGCAATGGTTACAGAAGATAAAGTGGCAAAGGAGAATTTAGGCGAAGACCATCTTTCGTCTCAATTGCCTCAATATCCTGTGTTTAAGAGACAACCATTACGTTAGTATGCCGTACGATTCGGATAAATGGAATGTAATCATTTTGTCATAGTCATTTACCAAACGAGATTGCGTACGGTTCGCTTAGATCGCTGTACGGTTTGTCTAAATACTGTTGAAGAACGTTGTAGAGAAAGATTATCGATAGTCTGGTTAAAAGTATAAAGATATGCTATTATCAGAATGCAGATGTGGTTTGATTTAATCGACCCTTGTAGTTCAGAAATTTCGAGATATCAATAAAACACGCGGAGTGTTAAACATCCTGCAATGGTGTTCTAGAATCCTTTTTATACTATTCTAGATTATAGATCATCAAACTTCTCCATACCCATCGCCTTCGACTAGGAGTTTCATTTCAATTACGTGCGGGATTCATCACATTGCTCGTAGTTTAATTATTGCATATTCGCTGTTATTACCCACTATTAAATAAATATATACTCACTGACATGAAGCGATGAGTTAGTGAACAACTCACCCGTACATGTCGGGCTGTATATCAGGCGCGGGGGGCGGTGCGGGGCTGGGCGGTCGCTCCTTCAAGCTGTAGCCGCGCAGCAACACCAGGTGGCGCGGGTCCTGGGAATGTAGATTGTGAACTCTATACACAGTGGAATAGAGTAGAAATATCGCGAGACGTACGCACGCCCGTACGCATCGTACACGAGCACGAAAAGTTTTGTATAAATCGAATCAATCAATACAGAAACCTATCTAAAAAATTCATCATATCTGTTGTATGGGAGCCGAACTTAAATATTTTTTTAGTATTTATTGTTATAGCGGCTACAGAAATACATCATCTTTGAAAATTTTAACTGTCTTACTATCACGACCCATGAGATACAGCCTGGTGCCAGATGGACAGACATGAGAGTTAGTAAGAGGGTCCCGTTTTACCCTTTGGGTATAGAACCCTAAATAGTATTAAATATGTTGTCATAAATTCACAAGGTAACAAGTGTCCACAAAAGCCACCTTAGCGTAGTTCCTCTGCTGAGCCTGGTGAAGCTCACCACCTGCATGCTCGTACAGCGCGAGAAGGGCTGGAAGCCTCTTTGCAGATGCTATAGACAGCTGCGCCCCTCTTTCGCTTACTAAACGAGCAGCGTGCTCTATGGTAGCTGGGGCACCTACGGTTTTTACATAATTGTAAATAGTGAATGAAAGTTGATGAAACTAAGTAATTAACATGATAGATACTAGTAAGAATATTAAGACAATAATAATAATACGACATTCAGTTATCTCACTCATCAGATGAACTGTCTAATCCACCAGATGCAGCCTTAGACTTTAATAAATGAACGAAAGAAAAAAAATATTGATAATAATAACATTTTCATTCTAAAGGAAAAACATTTATTGCTGCTTTGATGGTCATACTTCCAGCATTCCAAATGTTTTACATTTGTGTGACATCATTAACGGCAGTAAGGCCCAGTAAAAAGTATATGGTTTGGTTTTGCCTTATTACTTAGCCCCAAATATTGAGATTAAATGCTAGTTAAAATTACAACTGACATGTCTGTATACAGCCATAATTGTAAGGTTTGATCACTCCGTAACACTCACCAGGCGGCACGAGACCTCCTGCATACGTAGAGTATGGTGGAGAGCAGCACAGCAACAGAATATGTATCGGTAGATCTGTGCGACCTAATTCGTCGAAGCAAGCCAACGCCATGGTCAGCGCCTCAGTAACGCAGGCACGGTTTTCCGCATGCCCACCTATATACCTGATAGATCAAAACTAAAAGTTGTAGTTTAACGGTAGGCTTTAAGGGTATGATTATCTGTTGGCTGAGCCCGATATCCATTATTCTTGTGTGGTACCAATTTAGTATTAACCATTGTATAGAAAATACCCCATGCCATTGGAGTAAAACTTCATTAGGCGCAGTTAAGGGGTGGTTAGTTCAATGCTTTGGACAATGACAATGCAAACAGAACCGCATTACGGTTATGACGCGACAATGACACTGTACATATGATGTATCTGAAATGTCCATAACTATAAAAATTAAATTATTATTAATTATTAATTTAGAATAAAAAATATATTTTAAATTAATAATAATCTAATTTATTGTTAATGTATTAATTATTAATAATTTTTTATTTTAAAGATTTTTATTAGTTTACTTTGACTTTTTACTTCAACTGTATGTAAAGGTACATGCACTAATTTTTTACTTATGCCATAACAATACTGATTAAATGATGACCAAACTGTTGAGAATGGCAAGACTGCATGGCAATGGAGTATGCTCTCTTCGCAAGTAATTTTGCCAAATATGTTTGACTAAAATTTGTGTTCAAACCAATCAATCAATCCTCACAAAACTTTGTGTGTATTGATAAGTTTTGATTGAATCAAGGATTTGTGTGTAAGTGTTTTTAATCTGGGTGTACTCTATGTTAACTAGATGACTAAAAAATGTAGGAGCATACTACAACACTAACTGTATTTTGTCCACGGTTTCAATAACATTTTGTGGACATGTAAAAGGGCCATATGTAGAAACTGGAAGACCAGGATGACAATCAGCTGCTTTGTAAGCAACTATGCCATATACAGAACCACTACCAGCACCTTCTTCCAAGGCACCACCGTGGAAATACCTGATGGATTAAAATAAACAATTTTATTTTCAATATACAGTACATTAATAGAGAGTATGACATAACATAGAAGAGTACATTTTAATCGAATTCACTTATACTAAATGTTTTAAAATAAAAACATTAAATATCATATTTAACATCACAATGTTTTCAAATATAGTAACTATGAAGATATAATTTTTTTTACATTATAATTACAATTTTTAATGATCTAATATTAAGTATCTATCTATGAAGTATATATGAAATAATTTAATAATAAAAACAATTACATTCAAGACAAATTAAGACCACAAGCAAAACAAAAAAACAATACTCATTAGTAATAACATACTTACTCTAAAGTGGGTACTATATAATTTGTTTTTAGTTCACTTATGTATGCACTATTTGGAGCAGTTGCTTCAATTACAAATATTATTTCGGCTTGTACCGGTGCTTCTGGTGCATTAACTACCATTTTTATTTGCTTTACACACAAAGTATATTGACAATAAAAATTTGAATTATCATATCATTCTAATATTATTAAAGCTCAATCAACAGAAAACAATATGTTTAATTTTAGTAGCTTGTTGTTGTCTCTTCACTAATGCTCTTGACGTGATGCAAGTCACAGTTAACAATTGTGGGCGTTGTGCAGCATAACTCGCTCTTCTTCTTCTTCTTTCATTTTTTGCGGTTTTAATGAATACGCCAATGAAGTATGAACACTGTTAATTATTATTCTTAACTCAACTTTTTGTTTAAATTAGACGTTATCACTGAACGGAGACGGGAATTACATATTACACTTTCTGTCTGTCATCTGTCCGTGTCAGTCAGTCAGTTCAGGTCAGTTGTCACAAGCACTGTTGCCAGGTCTGATTTGTAAAATTACAGTGGTCTGTACAAAAAATACAGTAGTTTGGCGCAAAATACAGTAAATCATTAAGCTATAACGCTTTTATATTAAATAAGCCTTGATTTGCAAATCCCATTTATTTACACTGTCAGCCTTTAGTTTATTTTAATAAATTTTATTACAATTATCTTTTCAAAATTAACACTAATCTATTCAATTTCATTTTAATATTATTTTGGATTTCATTCAAGACAGCACCGGGCCAAGGGTAAAGCAAGAGGAGCGTTTGCTCTGGGAAGGTAGCAAGAGGCGTTAAAAATCAAATCCAAAATAATTTTCACACAAAATAAAGTGTCGATGGCGCCTTTCGAAAAATAGTGCACTTTTAGTTTAATAAGAAACGGTTAGTATTTAAGAACCAGGAGTGTAATATTTTGTGTGTAAATCACAATATTTCTTTGAATTTAATTCTATGTAAAAATATAATATTTTGTGCTTCTTCGATTAGTTATTACAATAACTGCATAAATATCAGATTTCATTGTTAAGAGACTTACTAAAATTTCAATTTAATTATGTAGCAGTAGAAAAATTCTCAATTTAACATTATTAGAAGCAGGGTCACAATAGCTACAGCTACTTAATTTCATTTAAATTCATTAGGTGTTGATGATTGCGATAAATTAATTTTAATAAATTGTTTATTTAATACTTGTGTAATCTATCTTGATCAAAGGCTAAGGCCAGCACTGCAAGATCACTGTTAACGTTAGATCCCTGTTACTTAGATAGAACAACTCGACTCACAAGTAGTGGCAGGACACGATTCAAGCTATAATTTCACAACAATAAACGATGTAAGTGATTCAAAAGCGACCGGGCGAATAACATATTATTTAATGATTGAGCGCATTTTTAGTGCATGCTAAGTTAATGCAGTCGTAAATTTTACTCAAGGTTGAACACAATGAGCCGGCAATTCGACGTGTCACTCATATCCACGCAAGGGTGTGGTATATTTATCTTAGGGATACCCACGACCTACATTTTCAAATATCGGGGAAACCGGGCGAAGAAAAGGATCACATTAAATATTGCTACAAATAAGCAAATAAGGTGTTTCCTCTGGACGTGGTCGTAAGACTGTTGGAAGAAGTTAGTTGCCTTTATGCAGAGGTTGTACGATCCGTAACCTTATATAGGGCTCTTGTATGGGCGAGTAGACATACCACCCTGCGCTGTAAATCCAGAATCTACAGTGGTACGAGTCAGATGTCCATAGGTATCATGTAGGCCAATCTATATCATACCAGGATATAGATTAATGTACTTTAGAGCACCAATTGCCCTGGTTTGCTTTCCACTTCTAAACATATGGGCGGAAATGGACGCGAACGGAATCAGCTGCCTCCGTCAGAGACATAGTGGCGAGCCCGAAACCATTTGATCTCTTTTTGTAGGTAGTGAGCCTCATAAGTTCGAGTCCCTTTCCTAACGATTTCCAGTAAATCACTATCTGGGTTGTAAAAGCGTGTCGTGTCTAGCTGGCCTACTAGTAACTTGTTCGGGTGCTGATCAGTGTTTAATTTGATAACTACCTCTAGACAATGTATATTATGTCAAGATGTACGTGCAGGTTTTTAGGCGCTATTTGATTCCAGCGACCTGCAACTAATGCATAGGACTTGTATTTCGGAATGTAAGTATTTCATTAAATTAATCCTTCCCTATGTATATACCTAACTCTATTACAATGAGATCATACATTCGTCGAAGAAAAAGTTATGAAAACAAATTACCGACCCGACATTAACGCGAAGGAGACGTTCAGGGCGGTTCTCACTGCCGCCAGCCACCGACAAACCAAGCACAGTCAAAGGCCATCGGGGTCTCCACCGCACCTCGATGGTCCGTTGACGACATGTCACAACTAATGCATGCATGCACGAGGAGGGCCTCAAACCCCTGGGTTCTGGCTACTCCACCAGTTCTGCGTTCTATGAAGCGTTAATAGTCTAAGAACTGAAAGCGTAACATCAGTTATACAAAAACAAAAAAAAGTTATGAAATAATGAAATATTTTAAATGCAATCGATCAATACATCGATAGGTAATCAACGTTTAAACTAAACCCATAAATTTATTATTATTTATATACAATAATTTCTACTTCTCGTTCCCTTATTGTTTGTGTAAAGTTTTACATACTACAAGACATATATAAACAGTAAAGTGTAAACACATTATTATATTTATTATAGGAACGACCGCACGACTGATAGGAGGACATCACCAAAGAGTACTTTTATATTACAGGACAAGGACATCACCAAAAGGAATTTCAGAAAAGTACTCTTTGGATTGGACAATCGCTACGTATAGTTGGACATCACTCAAAGAGAATCATAGAGTAAAGTAATACTACAGAAATAGAGAGCCATCTCGCATATTATTTTGGTCAACATCGCGGGCTAGCGACATCTATATTTCTTGTTCCGAAAGATTCGGTGAATACCTATATATACCTATATGATGTATATACGTATATCTATTAATGTAGCTATATATTTTATTTATATAATAGTAACATTTAATAAGTTCACAATTTAATGATGAATGCCATACTGATAAGGCATTCATCACGAAATTGTGAACTTATTAAATGTAACTATTATATAAATAAAATATATAGCTACATTAATAGATATACGTTTATAATTATGAAGAACTTAAAGTATATTAAGTATGAAGTAGCAATTACATGTGAAAGTAAAACAATGTTATTTATTTCTTACTTTTATTATATCTATGATTGTTAAAATAACATTTTTACACTGATCTTACAACTCTTTCCCACATTAAATTAGATTGATCGATCGGTACCGACTTTACAAAATAATATTCATTGTTGTATCGTCCAAACATCATTTCAGCCGGTCCCTTTGGATATTTCAGTGTTTCTTATTTTTAATATACATTTTAGTTAAAAATTCATTTTAGTTGCGTGTTCTTCATGGTTTTCAATATATTTTCTGGGTTTTTGCTGTTTCTTTTTGTAATTCTTACTTCTTTTTCTTAGTCTACTAATTTTACTTCTTAATTATGTAATTTTTTGCTTTAAGTTGTTACTTTCTTTGTACCTGTAACATATAAATATAAATTAGCTTATTATTTACTTATTATGAAAATATTTTTGTGTGGATTATATTGTTTTCCAAATTAGTTTTACCAGAAGAGTCGTTAATTTAATGTTTATGTGAACTGTATGTTCAATATCATATATGGAATTCAGCACTACTAATAACATCTGTATGGTTAATGTAATTAGTAGTCTCATACACATCTCACATATCTATTATAATAACAGCATTACTGCTTTTAGCACATTAGTTATGAGAATATTAAAAGAGGTTCATATTCCCATGTTAAGTTACCCTAATACAATTTTGTTATTATTCATAACTGCCTTGGTGGTCTCACAGCATAAGCATAAGATCCTTATAAAAAAAACCACAACCATTTGGCCCAACTTGTCAGAAAATTCTCAGTAGCATGTACCTCATGTACCGCATGTAGTCAAAAATAGGCTTGCCTCTTAATGTGTGGATCTAAACATAACTGGTTCCGTCACAGAATGTGCACATGTTATTGAAAAGTACTACAGGTACTTTTATATATATATGTATAATCGAAATCTCTAGGTTACATTTTTAGAAAATGTATCCCTGTTTTCAGGGAATGAAAAATATCATTCGAATATGACGGTAAATTTCACCGCAAAAAAAAGTGTTATAATACCTCGGTCGGTAATCGGGCGGCCCCAAAACAGACGGCCGCGGTTCGTATCACGATCATTTACACACTTATTTTTTACTTTTTTTTCGATACCAGATCATTGCTTTCTTTATTTCTTATATTTGTCGATTTGTTATTTTGTTATTTTTCTTTCTTTTGTGAGAAACACCAGTTCATATTTTCTTATTATTACGTCGGTAAGATCGAAAAATTTTATGCATATTTCATTACTCAGTAATTTGTATCATAAAGCAATTTCCAAAATACACGATTTACCAAAAAAACAAACCGAGCAAAGCTCGGTCCTCCAGGTACTACATATATATATACAAGAATTGCTCGTTTAAAGAATAAGATTTAAAGGATGATAAATTTTACATGATTTTTGTATAAGCATAGAGTTTTCCTGTTATATTACTGTTAAATTATAAACTAGCTGTGCCCATGATTTCGTCCGCGTGGAATTTAAAATAAATAAATTAAAATTTGTAAAATGAAAGTAGCCTAAGTTACTCCTTATTACATCAGCTATCTGCAACTGAAAGTTCCGTCAAAATCGGCCCAGCCGTTTCAGAGATTAACCAGAACAAAAATTGTAAAAAATGTCAACATCCACATGCATTTAGTAAAAAGCGGTTATTTTAATATTACAAACAGACACTCCTGTTTAATTTACTGTATAGATTATTTTTACCTGCAACCGGTAGTTGGAATGTAAACCATGGACATCCATAACGGTAGGTGTTTCTGAAAATAATAAAGTTTCATTAATTACATAAATATCTATAATGATAATGAAGTTTAGGTGTGAAAACAATATTTTTGCACAATTTGTCTAAGGAAATGCCTGTCAATTATATACTATCTCAGAATGATGAGCAAAGTGAATTATCACACATGATTTTGAATTATTGAAGTTTTAAATGCATAAGGGTAGTGAGAAAAATGATTTTTGTTCCAGCAAGCCTTGCACTTATCATTATATCAGTGATTTGCTCATTTCATTAATGGTAGTAAATGTTGGCTTCTATAAATATGGGATCTAAGCGTTACTGGTTCCGTCGCTGATGTGCACCGGTCAAAAAAATTGCACCCCACTTTACTTTATATTATCACTTATACTTATTTATTTAATTTTTTATTTTATATTACTTTATCTTTACAGGCAATTTTCAATATTTGTATTTTACAATATGAGCACATCTTAAAAAGAGCTTTAGCAAAAAGTGTAAATTTTATAGAAAGTTTCTTTTTTTTTTCAAATCATTTGTTTTCTGATGAATATTGAATGTTTAGTCTATTTATTTGCTTTTTGTTTAAGCGTGAATTATTCCTGACATTGTATTATGTCTAAATTATGAATTATAACTTGATTTTTACCTGCAACCCGAAGTTGGACTGTATAAATATATATCATATTGAGGGTTATCCATATGGGCATCCAAAACAGCAGATGTTTCTGAAAAATATAAAGTATAATTAATATAATACAAATTTATAGTGGTAATGTAGTGGTAGAAAACAGTTTTGCACAGTTGATCTAAGAAAATACCGTACTTATGCCTGTTATTAATCTGATAACTAAGAATGATGAGCAAAGTGGATTGCCACACAGGATTTAAGTTTTTAATACAGTGCGGCATGGAATATGACTTTACTGCAACAATCATGACACTTACCATCGTCCGTAATATCAGTGCTTTGCTAATTTGTTTAATAAGTAGAAAAAGTTTTAAGTAGCAATTTAAAAAAAAATACAAGTTTATTACTGTTAATAATGATTGAATTAAATTTTTGGATCGATACTATTATAGGCACAGATACTCTTAGTGCGTCCGCATAATGACTTACAACGTTTCTTTGGCATTAGAGTTTTATGTGAGGAAGTGGCAAACGAGCTGGCGGTTCACCTGATGTTAAGTGATAACCGCCTACCCATGGACATTTGCAAAACCTGCCCATTCATGCAAAACTGTTGCGTGGCCCTACCACCGTTAAGAGTTATGAGAGATTTAAAATAAGATCACATTATTTATACATAATTCTATGTCTTTTCATGTCAACAACACAATCAAATGAATTAAGAATAATGTTGAATAAACTTAATAGTTTGGAGTAGCCATACACAAGTAGTACTTCTTGTAAGTGTTAACACAAATAGTTAATTTTTACCTTCTCTTCAGGCAGAAGAGAAGGTAAAAATAATTTTAACTATTTCTTAATATTTAAATTTAAAAATATCTTTAAGTATTAAAAGTTATTTGCTTTTTACTATACACTATATTTTTACTATAGCTAAAGAATGTAAATCCAAATTGGCTTCAAGTTTTAGTAAGTAATATTTATATGTTTTTAAATACTGTGGATTTTCTTTCAAAATAAAAAAAAAATACCTGTTGTGGGTAGTGCAGTTAGTTGGTATGTAGACGGTAAAAGGTTATCAATATACACTTCCAAAATTATTGAAGATGCTGAAAATAATAAGATACACAAATTAAAAAATAAATAACATTTCTCTTACATCATCCTGAGAGAAAATGTTTCATTAATATTTGTGTCAATGCAGTCTTCAAGGTTAAAAATGTATGGAAGTTAACTGGTTATATACAATACATTTATCAAACTCACTAGTTATTGTGTGTTTCCAACAAAAAGTTTATGATTAGAGTGAAAGCTTAGCTTTATTATTGATTTTTTTACAAAGAAGTTAAAGTAAAGCGTATATATAATAATATCACACAGATGGGCAATGGTCTCCCTGTTCAAAAGTTATTAAGTTATTTATTTATTTATTTGCTTAAAGTATGGTTTCCCAGGGCGTTAATTTAATGGTACAACTCATAATATTGTACCACATGTTATGCTAATTTTTATATAGCATGCAAAATATTACACATATCAACTTTACTATTTATATAAAGTTTACAAAATACAGTTGCAGTCAATTCTAAATTGAAACTCACAATTTATAATAAAGAGTAGAAAAAATAAAATTAAAATTAATTAAAATAATGTCAAGTATTAAATCTTATTAAAAAATTCTTTGATGTCGTAAAAATTATTTATCTTTTACCATAATAATAACTAAATAACAATAACATATAAACAATAACATAACTAATAATAACTTTTTAATTAACTTTAAATTGTCTGTAATCTAGCATTTTCATGTTATTGGGTATTTTTTTAAAAATTCGTACACACATCAAATAATTATTACTATACTTTGCAGATCTAGGGGTGTCTTTTAGCACTAGTCTATGTTGGTTCCTTTTTGGCCTGTTATTGACTTCGTTTGTTGTTGTAAACAATTCTTTATGTTTCCTTAAGGCATATAAGGCATATTATAATATACATTGCGAATTGGTGGACTTAACACACCTTTGAAATATTTTTAAGTTTTTCTTCACCACTGAGCATGTAATACATCGTCAATCAACACTTAAAATCAAAAACAGTTGCAGTCAATTCTAAATTGAAACTCACAATTTATAATAAAGAGTAGAAAAAATAAAATTAAAATTAATTAAAATAATGTCAAGTATTAAATCTTATTAAAAAATTCTTTGATGTCGTAAAAATTATTTATCTTTTACCATAATAATAACTAAATAACAATAACATATAAACAATAACATAACTAATAATAACTTTTTAATTAACTTTAAATTGTCTGTAATCTAGCATTTTCATGTTATTGGGTATTTTTTTAAAAATTCGTACACACATCAAATAATTATTACTATACTTTGCAGATCTAGGGGTGTCTTTTAGCACTAGTCTATGTTGGTTCCTTTTTGGCCTGTCATTGACTTCGTTTGTTGTTGTAAACAATTCTTTATGTTTCCTTAAGGCATATAAGGCATATTATAATATACATTGCGAATTGGTGGACTTAACACACCTTTGAAATATTTTTAAGTTTTTCTTCACCACTGAGCATGTAATACATCGTCAATCAACACTTAAAATCAAAAATTTCATTAATGCCAGCACCGTGATTTGAACTCAGGTTGCTCAAGCCAATATTGAATTAAAAGCAAGTGTCCTGAAACAGCTATCAAGGCAACATATTTTTTATTATTATATAATTTAGGAATCTATGCATACATTTGTTAAATTAATACTTACTTCATCGGAGCAGTGTATGTATTTTTTATATTACTTTACGGTTAATTGAGATGTTTGTAGTAGTTTTTTACATTTTCATTGAAGCATTTATCATTTTCTTAAATCAAGCATTTTCTTGCTGTCATGGATCTGTTCATCTACCATGCCTCTAAAAGTTTTACCTGCTAACTCAACACATTTTTAAAGAGCTCTGGGGTTGGGTTATTCAAATGATTTGGAAAGATTTGAACAGGTACACCTGAAAATAAACCAGAAAGTTATATTAACTTATATTAGTTGTACCTATTTATTTCAGTAATGTCTAATTAATGTTAGGGTACAAAGCTAAGGCTATTTGGAAACCTCGTATGTATATTAGGTTTTTATAATAGGGGAATAACCATACCACAACAACCAAATATAAGCAATTTATAACAACAACCTTAACAGAGCTATGGGTACAGCACCATAAATTTATGCTATATATTTGTCATAACTTTACTTTTTCTTTATTTGCTTTTTAACCAAGGTAATGACAGGATTAAAAGGAATACACAAAGAATACATGTATTGCGCGTATGCAATCAATTTTACATACATCTGATGTGGTAAAAAAATAACATTCTATACAAAAGTAGTCTATACGAGAACGTACGAGAAGTAGTCTATATGAGTTGAGACAACGCCTAGGCCACTTAAATTAAATATTGTGCATCAAAATATACAAGGCTTAGGCGGCAAAGAACCCGAAATTGAATTGTTCCTTAGGAAATTTAATATATATGTCATCTGCTTCACAGAGACATGGTTACATAAGCACTGTAATATTGTTAATATAGAAAATTATAAATTGTTAAGTTCGTTCGTAAGAGTAAATGCTATTCGCGGTGGCTCTCTTGTATTAGTTAGAACTGATATAGTCTGTAAAAATCGACAGGATATAGTGGCACACTCTGTCGAACGTTCTATTGAAATTATCCTGCGTTGAGAGTCAACAGTATGTTATAGTATGTGTATACCGGCCCCCCTCAGGTGATTTCGATCAGTTTGAGTGCGTAATGGATGATGTTCTTAAAAAACTATGTTCAAGTAGTAAATCATTAATAGTTTGTGGAGATTTTAATGTGGATTTATTACAAGTAACACAACTCAGTAAACGAATTTTAAATTTATTTAACTCATTTGAACTTAAAAATCTTTTTCATGAACCAACTCGTGTTACTAACTTATCCTCCTCATGTATAGATAATGTATTCTGTCCCAATGATGTATATGATAAATATGTTATAAATCATCTGAGCTCGGATCACTTTGGGCTAAAATTTTCAATAAATGAAAAAGCTAATACAAGCAAACTTAAGATCAAGTGTAGACCAGTCACTACTAATAGAATAAATGCTTTTAGAGATAAAGTGGCACATCATATGTTAAATAAAGATATAGGAGTCAATAACCCTAATGATTCTTATAGATCAATGGTTGACTTTCTCATATCTTCTTATAATGATACTTTTAAATCGCGCACAATTGTTAAGAATTCAAAATTAAAATTTAGTGACTGGGCAACAGTGGGTATATACAAAAGTAGGGATTCATTGTATGAATTATATAGTATGAGGCAGTGGAATCACGATCCTAACTTCCTTAACCCAGACGGTTACAAACATTTTCAAAAATATTTAAAAAAGTCTGTGTTCAGGCAAAATCTATTTATATAAGAAATAGCATAATAAATTCAAACAATAGAACTAAAGCCACATGGGACATCATTACCAGTATATCTGGAAGAACCAAGATATTCAGGGAACCTATAAAACTAGTTAGAATACATTTTATAGGTAATACTCCCATAATATCAGATAACGAAATTGCGAGTAGTTTCGAAAGCTATTTTTCAGACATTGCGGTTAATGTCACACGTACATTAAAATCATCTCCCGCAGACGCAATTAATGTTTTAAGAAATAATGTTACCCCTTGTCTACACATATTTAAATTTAATCACGTAGATACTTATGATATTATAAAAGTTTTGAATTCTATTAATCTTAAAAATACAGAGGATTTATTTTTCCATTAAATTAATGAGCACAATAATGCCATATATTGCACCACATTTGGCTTCTATTTTTAACAACTGCATAGATTCTGGAATATTTCCAGATCTTATGAAATTTATTAAGATAATACCTGTCTACAAAAGTGGTGATAAAAATGATCCAGGCAACTATAGACCTATTTCTATATTGCCATCTCTTAGTAAAGTTTTTGAAAAGCTAATATTAAATCAACTTTTAGTTCATTTTAATGTGAACAAAATCTTTCACGATGAGCAATATGGATTCACTAAAGGCAGATCGACAACAGATGCGGGCGTCGCACTTGTCAAACATATTTATAACGCCTGGGAAAGTTCACAAGATGCAATAGGTGTCTTTTGTGACCTTTCAAAAGCCTTCGACTGCGTAGACCATAAAACTCTCCTCCAAAAGCTAGAATATTATGGCATTCGTGGCATCGCCCTCAATCTCATTGCCTCTTACCTTAGTAATAGAATTCAAAAAGTATCTATAAATGATGTTAATTCCGCTGGGTCCCCGATGAAAATGGGAGTCCCACAAGGATCAATCTTGGGCCCATTATTATTTTTAGCATATATTAATGATCTCCCCTTTTTATGCCAGTGGGTTGTGTGATGTTGTACTGTTTGCTGACGATACATCGCTTATTTTTAAAGTTGACCGAAACGTATTAAATTATGACGACGTGAATAGTGCACTTTCACATATCCTCCACTGGTTTACTATTAATAATATGGTATTAAATGCCAAAAAAACCAGATGTATTCTTTTTACCCTTCCCAGTATAAGAAGGAAAAGTTTTAGTTTAATATTAAATAACGTACCCATTAATCCAGTTGAGTCTGCTGTATTTCTGGGAATTACAGTAGATTCAAAGCTCCAGTGGAGTCCCCATATATCATCTCTTGCGAATAGGCTGAGCTCCGCGGTTTTTTTGCGATTAGAAGGGTTAGGCAGCTAACAGACATCGACACTGCCAGACTTGTTTACTTTAGTTATTTTCACAGCATCTTGTCGTACGGCATTTTGTTGTGGGGTAGTGCATCAGATATAAATTCTATATTTATTCTTCAAAAAAAGAGCTGTCCGAGCAATCTACAATATCGGAGCCCGGAATTCACTCAGAGATCTTTTCAAAGAGGTTAATATACTCACTGTTGCTTCTCAATACATTTATTGTAATGTTTTGTATATACGTCATAACCTTAATTATTACCTAAAGAATAGTGACAGACATAAAATAAACACTAGAAATAAGGACAAACTTACTACGCCATTGTTTCGTTTACAAAAAGTAAATAAGTCGTTCATGGGGCAAAGTGTACGCATGTGTAATAAAATCCCACAGTCGATATTAAGTCTGCCGCTTGACCAATTTAAATGTAAAATTAAAAATCAACTGATGATTAAAGCATATTATACCATTTCGGAATATCTCGACGACGCCAATGTGTGGAGTTAATACTGTTGATACTCACCTAGGCTAGAATAAGACTATTATACCAGTATATTATATTGTACCCTGATATTTTTTAAAAAGAGCAACTGTTGAGTTTCTTGCCGGTCTCTTCTCAACAGAAACCGCTTTCCGAACCGGTGGTATCTTACGAACCTATACACATAATCTTTGATGTAAAATTTGACGATTCATAAGAGCGCGCAAGCGTCTATTTGAATAAATATATTTTTGATTTTGATTTTGATTATACAAAATGGAATATGAAAATTACCCGCGCTCACACATCCAAATACACAATGTTTAGAAATAGGCAAAGTTACAACACAAAACTTACCTTACTAATAGCTTCCAAAATATCGCAAAAATTAATTAATGGCGTCCAACACATTGTAAAAAACACAAGCCGTCTAAGTTTAGCGGAGAAATCTTCAACTCGACCCTAAACACACTTTTACTCAATTCAAAGAAATTTGCAATTCATACTGCCACAAACACAAGTGCATAACAACAAAGATTAATTAATAAATGCGCACACGCAATTAAATAACATCAAACGTTTGTACATTTTAAAATTGTTAGGTGACATTGTATTACAACTATATCACTTTTATATAGTGACCTCTAGTTAAAAAAAAAAAGAAAACATAACATTTGTTTCAAGATCCTATAAGAAAGATGTCGCTACAAAAAATACTCGATCGGCTTTGTAGAGGAGTTTCCCGCCCCTGAAGAGAATCTAACCAGTTAACCACTACGTTTGACATCACCACAGAGTACTTTATAATATAATATACTGGACATCACTAATAAGAGAAAGATAAGAAAAATAAACTACGAACGAATAACCTTATCAATCACTTTTTGTGGACTTTTATAGTATTTATTACATATTAATTTGGTTGGTATACCCATTATCTCAGTCTGATAGTGGCTTTACTAGTGCATTTGATAAATTGTAATAACTTTGTCCCGATCAGTATAATGGAATATTCTTTTCGCTCTATACGAATCTTTAGCCGGCTTCTGAGAAAACCTGGCGGGTTTGTAAATCATAAATATGCTTCTAACGCTGCTGTGAAAGAAGAACCCAATACAGAGTTATTGACGTCTTTCAATCAAGATACTAAAGCCGGTAAGTTAAAATGCTCAATTCCATAATATGAAATGTATTTTAAATAATGTTGTAAGAATGTAATAATATTAATAGATACGAGAATAGATATGTTTCAATATACGAAATTATTTCAATATATATATATGCCATATAAATGTAACTTCAGAATTCAATATTATTTTAAGGTAAATTCTTACATATATATTACATACATTTCTTGTGTGAGTAGCTTATGAAGTACCTACTAGTTTTATAATGTTCATGTGATATTCTCATCTAATGTTGCATAATTAAAACATTGCATCTTGTTCAACATGCATATTTTGGTAGATAGTAGCAGTTTTAGTTAAATTGTAATTGTAAAAATAAGTAGACAGCTTTGTTTTTACCTTTTCATATTGTTTATACCTCATAAGTTTTTACTTTTGTAACATTTTCTTTTATGTTTTTATGGTCATAAGCAAATATAAAAAAAAAAAGTTTCAGTACACATAAAATTTAGTGGAAAGTAATCACTTTATGATCCATGTTTCACCGATTGTTGATTATAAGGAATTTATAAAATTGAAAAAACCATTAGCTTATGAACTTTGGGATTTTAATCCACGTTTTTACTAGCCAAATTTGAATGTTTAGATTCAGTTTTTAACTAGATAAATTTTTGTCCTGATCCATCTTCTGGTAGACCATCTTATTCAGAATTATTTATCATAATTTATCATCATCCCAATTCCCAAAATCTATTTCTTAATTCTAGGAGGTGTAGTGCCTGTATTTAGACGAGCCCTGCTTTTCCCGACACGAATTGCACTACAAGATGACATTGGCATTTATACATATGCTGGATTACACCAGGCTGCAACAACACTCAGCAAGGAAATTGCTGCACAACTTTGTATGTATTCTTAATTTATTTTTTCCTGGTGGAATATTTATGACTCATATACCATTTCTTCTCAGATAATGGTTTTTAAAAAACTGATGTTAATTTGTTAGCTTTGTTCAGAGGAAAAATGTCATCATGGGAAATATTTAAGAATTTTTTTTTAAGTTGTTAAATATTGTAAATTATATTATGAGGGTTCATCATCATAAAATTATTGGAAAATAAAAAAATATTCTTCACAAAAACAACTTCGCAACATTTTCTTTACATATAATTATAAACATTTTTTTATGCGTAAAGTAATTTTCATAAAATAATTACCATTGTATGTAAGGAATTTTTTTGATGGATGTTAACAATTGATAATGTGATATTTGCATACAGTGGGCGACACAGAGCGCACCATCGCCTATATGTGCGGAAACGACGCGTCCCACGTTATTGTACAGTGGGCTATATGGATGACAGGAAATATAGGTGAGCAAAGATAAAGATTAAAAATTACAGCATTGACATAGTAATGACGTAAACATGCTACACAAATATGAAATAAATATACCTATTCTGCTAGGCTAACAGCAAACTCGCTTTTAAAATGACCACAAAATGTTATTGTTTTTGCGCACAATGAACAATACTTTCTTTCTTCGAGCTTGATACATCTATGCATTGACCAAATTGAAGTGAAGTCCTTAAACATAAAGTAATAATTAAATGAAAAATACCCATGTTAGAGAAACATCACTTGCTTGTTTCTTCTCCTTTATAGAAGGTTTCTATTACAAAAAGGTGGTGGATTTTAAATAAAATTACCATCGATAGACGAAATTTATGTTTGTATACGTCAATGAATTTGATTTTCTGTGAACCTTTTAGCCGTCCCACTAACGTCTCTCCACCCGCCTGACATGCTCAAGTACTTCGTCACGGACAGCAACGCGAGCCTCGTGGTGTGCACGCAGGAGTACGAGAAGTTGCTGAGGCCGATCGCCGCGGAGGTTTCCAGGCCGCTGCTGGTCACCAGCAGGGACAAGGAGGTCACTGCTCAGCTGTACCAGCCGAACACGTCGTTCATGAAGCCGAAGATCGAGGAGGCGTTGAGCGATGTCGGCAAGACCAACATGTGGTACGGGAATTCGGACGCAATGCTTATTTACACCAGCGGTGAGTATCCATCATCCCTGTAAATCAGTTGTGCTGTCTGTTCAAAGCCCTGTCCTTTACCTCCCTATAGGACTTAACATTTAGCTCATTTATTTTTGTTTCTCTTTATTTTGTTTCATGTTGATTGACAATTGCTTTTTTGGAATATCATTTTATTTCATACTGTGCCACTAGACAGCAATATTGTGCCTCTACATGAACATTAGCTCAGAATTTTGCATTACCAATTGAAGCAATAGTTGCATGGTTTTTAGTTTTTACATGTTCCAATGAACACCCAATTTAATATTATACAACATTTATGTCTAAATAATACACTGATGATTCATTCACACAGACTAATCTTCAATGGCTTCAGCGTCGGGAGTCGTGGGTTCGATAGCCAACTGGGCAATTGTGTGAGGTACAGATAATTGTTTCGGATGCAGGACATTCTCAGATTTCGTATATACAACTCAATCTGTCCCGTGACCATGAAAATGTCCATATTATAAATTGTTTGAAACGGAAGGAAATTAAAAATAAAAATAAAAACCGTAAAATAATTTCATTTAACTAAATACAGGGGGGCTGTTATCACTTACCATCAGGTGAACCGTCAGTCCGCTTTTCATCTTCTTGCATAAAAAAAGGAAGAAAAAACCCCCAAAGAAGGTTGACATTGGGCAGGATTTGTTGTAAAACACCCGACCAATAATACTAACAACATAATTTACGTGCTGTCCCGACCACACTAGATAGGAATTAATTAAATTAAAATTTGTTGCCAAAAAGACGAAAAGTTTTTCACCGCTGCGAGAATCGAACCCGCTGAACAAGCTAAACGGCTGCTAGCCACACCGACGAAATTCCCAACATCGTCATCTATATTTTTTCGCATTTTAAGCATTGCTTGGCGCTTCTATTGTTATATACACGTGAATATTGTTAATGCATCGGTTCCTTCCAGGGACCACCAGTAAGCCGAAGGGCGTGGTGTGGAGTCACAGCATGCTCAGCACCCAGATAGCGGCCCTGCACTCCGCCTGGCGTTACTCGGCCAACGATGTGGTGCTGCACACCTTGCCCTTGCACCATATACATGGCCAGCTGAACTCGCTGAACGCATCCCTCGCCGCTGGCGCCCGGTAAGTCACCAGAAATGGGTAGGCAGAGGTAGTTGCAGGTGAACCGATCATGCTGATACGGTTTTCGCCAATGACGTATATAAATACGAAGTAAATGTGAAAATAGCGCACTGTCACTTTCAATTATACAGGGTGATTTTTTTAGACGAAGTACATACTTTAACCTAATGTCAATTGAGCATTCCGTAATTTAAAAAAAATATTTAAATTTTATTTTGACAAGAAATAACCAGAAAAATAACAATTCAAACATTGTTTGTATATCCCGTTACGAGTGGTTATCCTCTTATATACAATAGATACCAACAAACCAAGCGGCTAGGTTATTGTATTGAGACGGTAAGGCAGGAATTTTTAATAGGATGTCCATAATGTTTGAAAAATTAAAAATAATCTTTGAAAAAAAAATGAGGTCACAAGTACGTACCAGATTCAGATTAAGAATCAAATTCTGCATATGCTCTATTAATATGTCCGACGTCTATAAAATTAACGAAACAATTTTTACGCCGCGCAATATGGACATGCGTCATCTTCTGGGTTTTGCCCCCAATAGTCCATAATAAGTCTGCTAGCCCCCAATAGTCCATAATAGTTTGCGCAGTACATAGTTGGTTTATGTTTGGGTGTAATAAAACTTTATTTTCATCGGAATATTTTAATTGATATCGATTGAATGTTCCAATAAATGACCACACGAAAGCCTCGTCTCGCAGGAATTGTCATTATAGTTTACACGCTATTGCTACTTTTAACCTTACTGCGATAGACAGATGGCTGAGCGGTGGTATGGCCACGCAGCATTTACGGTGGTAGGGCCACGCAGCAGCCTCGGCTGTTGCACGAATGGGCAGGCTCGTCCGGGTAAGTACCACGACCTCACAGAAGACCGGCGTAAAGTGGAAGTATAATACTTTCGCGTTTCGACTGGTGAGTGGGGTGGCCGGAGCCCAATTTCCAAAAGGTTGTCAACACATCTGGAACCCTCGAGTGTAGCAGATGTCCATGGGCGGCGGTATTCACTTAACATCAGGTGAACGGTCTGCTCGTTTGGCAACTTTTCACATAAAAATATGTGAAATGAATATGAATACGAATTTCACATATGAATATGTTATTACAAGTAAAAAACACCCTATAAATGTCCCACTTCTGGGCAAAGGTCTCCTCTGTAAAGGGTATCAGGTCATAATCCACCACGCGACCCCATTATGGATTGGCGGACTTCACATATTTTCGAAATATTTTTTTTTTCGTGATTATTTCGAAAATATGCAGTTTTTTTCACGATGATAATTCAGCACTAACTAATTTTATTAACAATTTCATTGGTGCCGCAACCGGGGATCGAACTCAGATTGCTCGAGTAAATTGAATTAAATGCGAGCATCCGGACACTGAGCTATCACGGCTCTATATTATTATACGGTGGATCAAATCTTTCTGGTTCTGTACGTTACATACCTAAATATGACACAACGAGGTAATCGAAGGTCACCGAACCGCTGTAGGTCCTCAATCTGCGGTGGTAGGGCCACGCGACAGTGTTCGCTGTTGCACGAATTGGCAAGTCCGTCCGGATTATTACCACGACCTCACAGAATAGTCAGTAGAGTAGAAGTGGAATAGCCTGGCGGCGTCCGTCTTTCCGTCCGATTACAACGTAGGCGTCTTCAAGGAAAGAGTGAATAGGTTTCTACTGAGCTAGCGTGCTTACCATCAACGGCTGCATCGACACTTACCATCGGGTGGGATGCCAGTCAAGTGCTAGCCAGTTTTTGAATTAAAAAAAAAAAACAAAGAAGTATTGCACTTCTGCGTTTCGTCTGGTAAGTTAGGTAGCTGAGGTCCACATTATTAAGAGGTGGCAACGCATCTGCAACCCTACGGGTGTTGCAAACGTCCATGGGCAGGCGGTCATCGCTCAACACGTTTGCTATTTTCCTCGCATAAAAAAAAAATCTGCCTCACTCAATAAACGTGAGCGGCCCGCCTTAACCCGTATCCGCTCGGTGCGCACAGCGTCCGCACGCTGCCCGCGTTCGTGGCGCACGCGGTGTGGTCGCGGCTGCTGGGCATGGGCGAGCGCGAGGAGGCGCGCGTCTCCGTGGTGCACGGCGTGCCGGCGATGTACGCGCGCCTCGTGGCGGCGCACGGCGCGATGTTCGCCGCGTGCGCGCGCACCGCCGCCCACGTGCGCCACGCGCTCGCCGCGCGCCTACGCCTCGCGTGCGCCGGCTCCGCGCCGCTCTCCGACGCGCTGGCGCGCGACTGGGAGGAGGTGCGCCACTAACCGCTCTGCTTTTTTGTCCACAATCCTGTTGAGTATAAGGGCTTTGAGCGCTAATATAATAGGCTTAGCGTAGAAAGGTATAGCAAAACGTTAATTAACTATGATTCTAGCAATGAACAAGTTGTATTTTGCTTGAGTGGTGGATTTGTTTTACATGTTGATTGATATTTTTTTTTTTAAAAAGCGACATCAAAAAGTTGGAGGCCCTCAATTCATTTGTATGTTTCTTTTATGTTTGTTACCTGAGAACTCCTTATGTCTCACATGCGGACCAGTATTAATTTGATTGCTATTGAACCTTGAACTCCGGGGATACGTTAGGGGAACTACCCGAAGTCACATAGAAAATCTATATTGAGTACAATATTCAAAGTCGGTTTTATTTTTCATTAATAAAAATACACTTTTTCACGTATCGCATGATAGCGGAATAACCCCCTCAGATATCGGGCGTGCGGCTGCTCGAGCGCTACGGGATGTCCGAGGTGGGGATGGCGCTGAGCAACCCGTACGTGCCGGCGGAGGGGCGCAGCCCCGGCTTCGTGGGGCGCCCCCTGCCCGGGGTGGCCGCGCGGATCGCCACGGGGGAGGCCCTGGAGCCCCTCGTCACCGTAGAGACGCCCCCGCCGGACACCCAGGTAGCGTATTCCCCGTCCTCTATGGTGTGGGCTCGATTCCCACACGAGACAGCTATTTGTGCGAGGATTATAACTGTAAAAAACTGTTTGCGACGTGGAGAATTGAAGACGAAATAAAAAACGCGAAAAGGTCCGTAAAATGGTTTATTTTTTTTAAACATCAGATTGGAAGGCTTACTATTAGTGCAGAATTAAACTAAGGCTAGTTAAAGTTACTGAGTATGGCCGTTACTCATAAATAAAATGCAGTTTTACTCTGTAAGTACGCTTCTTTATTGGCCTAAACGTGCAATATTGTCAAGTTTAGTAGTATTAATGAGTTTTACACGTGAACAAATTTAATTCAAAATAAATTTATGTCCTATAAAGTGACCCTTTGTCGATCTACAGATATCGCTCGACAGACTCGGACTGGGCGGCTGTAAAGATTTCTTCAGCGGTGACGACAAGGAATGGAAGCAGTCGACGGTCACCTTTCATAGGGACAGCGAGAACGGCGAGTACCAAGGGGAACTGCTGCTCAAAGGGCCAGCCGTCTTTAGCAGGTATGTAATATGAGTGGTACTGAGGGTGGCCTTCAGCTCTATTATATAGCGCTGTATTATATACCTTGTTGTGAAAAGCGCCTGAGTTTACCACTCAGTGGGTTCTTGGCCGATGAGGATATAGCCCCGTGATCCTTCTTCAGGGTCTTCAGTGAACCCAGTGGAGACGGCGGCAGGAAATGGTCTCGTTAGCTGTGGACACTTATCAGAGACGCGCTCCTGAGTAGTGTAGGGTAACTGGTGCGATGTCACAGACCTCTCCAAACGCAATGACGGTGGTGAAAAATATTGATATGGAGAGTTTTGACCTGAAAATGTACTTTCAGTTTTCTTACAGTATTTTCGGATATTATCCAATACAAAATGCAACAAAATCGATCGAGATCGTCAGATTTAATATACTGGTGTACACAAGAACCCTCCATAATATGATACCGGCACCAACGGCCAATAAACAAACCCGTCCCCCTCCCATAATGTGATACCGGCACCACCGGCCAATAAAAAAGACCTCCCTCCCATAATATAATACTAGCGCCACCAGCCGATAAACAAGACCCCCCCAAAATATGATACCGGCACCACCGGCCGATAAACAAGACCCTCCGCCCACCGTCGGTCAATTAATAACACCCCCCCCCCCCTCCGGTTCCTCAGATACTGGAACCGCACGCCGCAGCTGAACGCGGCGGAGTTCACGCGCGACGGCTGGTTCCGCACCGGCGACACGGCCTCCTACTCGGGCGGGCGGTTCGCCATACTGGGGCGCACCTCGGTGGACATCATCAAGGCGTCCGGCTACAAAGTGAGCGCGCTGCAGGTGGAGGCCGCGCTGATGGAGCACCCCGCGGTGGCGGACGTTGCCGTTCTGGGCGTGCACGCACGGAGACTACGGCGAGATGGGTGCGTCGCGTTCGTTTGCTGATGTTGGTACCTGGATGACAGGGCTGAGCTAGGTTTTAAGGGTTCCGTACCGATTACAAACCCTTACTGATGTCGGTACCTGAATGATAGCTCTGCATTCGGTTATTACCGTCCCGAATCCGAAGGTTGCAACGGGACCCTATTACTTCTGTCGGCCTGTCGTGGCGGACGTCGCCGTTCTGGGCGAGATGGGTGCGTCGCCTTCGTTTACTAAACCTTACTGATATTGGTACCTGGATGATACAGCTGGGCTAGGTTTTTACCGTTCTGTACCGAAAGGGTAAAGTGGGACCCTATTACTAAGACTCCGCTGTCTGTCTGTCTGTCCGTCTGTCACCAGGCTGAAGTAGTAAGTAGTCTTAGTAATTTATACAGATGATGTCTGTTGCATACAGATGATGTTATAGCATAACCACAAATACTAAGAAACAGAATATGAAATATTTGAATGGGCTCCCGTACAACAGACATGATTGGTTTGACGTTTTCGTAGATAATGTTACGTGAACACTTCGTACGCGAGTCCGACTCTTACATGTTGATCAAATACTAGAAACGCAAAATTATTAAATATTAGTTTTTTTCATTTTAAAACTATCATTAAAGTCTCCAATATTTCAACCTTTGATGTTACAACTTTATAATTCTTGCCTTCAGTTTCTGCCGTGATAGTCCTGAAAGACAATGCCAAGGTGACTCTAACGGAGCTTAAGGACGTGGCCGGCAAGAAGTTGGCGCCGTACCAGCTGCCCAAGAGGATGCTAACCGTAGACCAGATGCCCAGGAACGCCATGGGCAAGCTTGACAAGAAAGAGATCAAAAGGCTCTACAGCGAGAGGCTTCAGACCGAGAGCTCTTAAGACTTAGCTGGTACGCAGATATCGATATCTCGGTTATCTGCATTTATTTAAAACGGCACCATCGGGACGAGTCGACAAAAATAACGTTTCACATACGCGCAAAACCTAATTGTGCCTCTGGAGTACATCATTCATTCTTAATAGCTTTCTGTCTCGCCGCCAATATGTTTGAATTCACAAAATTGCTTGATTCTAGTTTCTGGATATAGGTTCATTGGACGTTATTTATATTATTTTATTTATTTATATAAAATAATATAAATAACCTCCGATCCGATAGAAGACTGGTAACGTTTATATAACATAGGTAGGGTAGGGTTCTCTCGACCTTCTGCCGCCGCGTAACCTTCTTACATAAAAAATATAACGTCTTCGCTAGTAATCTTGATAAATAAAGCCACAAAACTATTTATTATGATAACAATTTACATGAAATTTACCTAACTTAAACCATTGTAATAATGTTAGTGCTGCATATCTGAAATTGGAGGCATTGTACTTACGAGCTAGTTTTTGTAACTGATCGGTAAATAATTGTTTTATCTTTTAGTATGTATGATGATATGTACTAGGTATGTATTTTACTGTGCAGTACCAAGACCTCACCGTAGGCAACAGACTTGAAATGGAAAAGTTATACTTTTGCGTTTTGTCTGGTGAGCAAGGAAACGAGCGTAGCAAATGTCAATGGCCGCAGTTATCTCTTAACGTAAGTGAAACGCTAGCTCGCTTGCCATTATTGGTACATTAAGAAACAATAATGCAAAACAAGGAAAATATGTATATGCATGTATATAATCAATACTTATATTTTTGCTAATTGTATAACACTATCACATTAGTAATATTAATATTTTTCTATAACTGAAACATTTAAAATACGTAAATGTAACCGTTTTAAACAATAACCGAAATGGTTTGCTATTAAACAAGTGGAACTATTTCACTTAAATCAATAGAAATGAGTCTTCCCCTTTTATATGCTATAAGTTAATTTTATGTAAAGTTTTATTGTTCATAAATGTATCACTGAATATGTTAACTCAACGGACAGTTTAAACATACTAACATTATTTAATAGATTTATATTTATTATTACAATTCCATATTGCATATTTGAATTAAATTACATTGTATTTATGGCTATGAACTTATCACTTTTTTTAATTTCATCGTTTTCACGATAGTGTAATAAAGTACGAAGTAGCCGCCAGTTCGAAATTCAAAAAACTTGGGAGGTCATTGTAACATTTAATTGTTGATGTGAAGACTTACTAAGTCTTCTTTTGACTGTCATTGACGACTCAAGAATTCATGAGTCTTGACTTGCTTGGCCTGTTAACAACACTGCTTACCCCACTTTTCCATGGCAAGAAACACAATATATCACTTAAATGAAATCTATTTTTTTTCTGTACAAAGGCAGACCTATATCATTTTATTTATTTCGATTTAATAAGACCTTGAATTTTCAAGACAAACAATACTCGTATTTCTTATATTGCTTTTTATATTTTCAGTGTCATTTTCGCTTCTTTTATACCAGCCAAGCAAAAATATATTCCTAGAAATATATGAGACTAATAATAATCAAACCAATCTTGTGTCAAACTTCGAGTATAAGTTTACTACGAATAATGTTCCTATAAAACTGTTATTTATTTCTAAATTCTATAATTGCACATTTCCAGAATAAAATGCTTTTGTTGTTGATACGATGGACGTTAAATTGCACCTTATGAATTTTTTTTTTACGGTAGATTAAAAAACCAAAGTGTATTTTCGGCCAAATGTATTTATTAGAAGTGTGTAAATATGCATTATTTTTGCGCATTTATTTTTATGGCGCCTATTCATTGACTGACCTTTTTGTTTTACACATGTATTTAATGTTTTAAATAAAGGTACATTAAATTGTCTTGGTATTTTATTAAAGTGCTGCCGTTTTCCACAAATCTGTAAAGTCGTCTAGATACACCTGCCCTTATCCCACCTGGGTAGGCACTACATGAGAATCATGTTGTGAGGGGTTTTGGGTGATAAATGTGTAAAGTACCTATATTTACTTATTTAGTGCCGAAGTCACTGCGGATTGGCAGGCCAACCATATCTTCGAAATATTTTTGATTTTATTTCCAAAATATGCAAGCGTCCTCACGAAGTTTTCTCTCGCCTCTAAGCATGTTATAAGTCAGCACGAGTTGGTGGAGTATATTGAATTAAAAGCGATCGTTCAGTCACGGCTTTATTCACATCCACAAAGTAATAGATTTATTAACTACTATGGAATGTGAAATAAATGATATAAAATTAACGGTTTAAAATAGGCTGAAATAAATGAGATAAAATGAACGGTTTAAAATAGGCTTAAAACAAATATGAATAACACCAAAATTAAAGTTTATCTCTGCCATTGTTTTTGATTATGATATTTAAAGGAAAATCGCGGAAGTGGTTTGATAATTGCACAATAATAAAAAAAAGCTTTGAACCTACTTAACGCATACAAAAATTACGCTAAGAAATTACAAGATCACATAAATTACAAATACAATATGCATCTGTTTCGATTCCTAACATTGCGAAAACAAATGTTACATTACCCTAAAGTATTCATATCGGACTAGGATTATGAAGGAAACTTCTCGCGGCCGCCGTCGAGTTTATCAGACACGGCGGCGAGAATGTCGCCGAAGATATCGCCTCCGCCCAACTGGAATACGTCGCTACTACGGTGGCCGACATCCCGACCAGCATAACTAGGAACGCCAGCAGCACGTCGTACCACTTGACGTCGTACTCGTCTACATAAGCGCGATATATCTCCTCGTAGCTCCCGAAAGTCTGGTACTTAGGCGGCAGCGATTGCGGCAACAACGGAGCCGCCGCCGCGTCGCCTTGCACGCCGGCGCCGCCATTTTGCGGAGGCTCATTGGCGGCCATTTTGAATAGCCTCGGCTTCAGACTGAGCGAGAACTCCTGCTTTATGTTGTTCGATTTCAAATAGCACAGCTTGAGAAAGAACAGCGGCGGGAATATGAACATCAACGGCCCGGTGAGCGTGGAGCCAACGAGGCCCATCACTAAGTCGAACCTCGGCACCGATTCGCCCAGGAAAACGGCCAGGGCGACGATACTGGATCTGATTAGGCAGCGTTGTATGCAGAAATCTGAAAGAATGTTACATCCTAGACCTCAGTCCTTCAGCTTCGTAAAAGTTTACAGTAGGTACTGAGATCTTCTAACAACTTGCGGAAAAAGCGGCATAATGGGCTCTGTATCTTTTGCCAACGACCTTCTGTGCCCCAGAGACCTAGAATTTGAATACTGTGTAACCTGTGCATTAAGATGTGCAGTAGTCAATTTTCCAAGAAGTTTGCTGGTCCCAAAATTGTAAGTGTACCCCACTTCTCTACGTGAACTGTGGTAGAAATGTAGGTTTGAAAAAATAAAACTTATGTGTGGGACACACACATAAGTTGGATGGTTTTTTTTTAATTTTGTATTTCTTTATGATTATTGGTAAGTAGCGTTAGACTTGTGTTCATTTATTGTCGCGGTTGTAACGACAGGCTGTATAAGTAGGTACATAACTGTGTACCCGTGTACCGTGTACGCTCGTTAGAAGTTATACTTCTTTGGCGTAAAAAGAACACTTGTTTTATTTAAATAAGGAATTATTACTTGGGACTTGTTTTATTTAAATAAGGAATTATTACTTGGGACTTGTTTTATTTAAGTAAGGAAGGCATTTAAATAAAACTAATGGTCAGGTTCGTCCGGGGAAGTACCAGCGTGCAGTGGAAGTATGTATTATACTTTAGCGTTTCGTCTGGTGAGTGAGGTAACTGGGTACACTTTATTACAAGGTGACAACGCATCTACAACCCTACGGGTGTTGCAGATGTCCGTTCACTTAACATCAAGTAAACCACTAGCACGCTTGCCACCTTATCACATAAAAAATGTAATGAACAGCATGAAGTTAGACCTTGACATGAAATTAATACGACGACATGAATTAAACGTGTCAAAAATCAATAATGTACTGTCCTTCTTCTTTTTATTTTTGACAGTTTAGGATTCTTATCATCTTTCTGTAACGCCCCTTTAGAAGTTTAATTTCTGTAGCTGTAGAGTATAAAAACTATAGTTACTAACTATATATATGTATAACTATATATATCGTACATATATATAGTTACTAACTATATATATGTACGAAAAGATTTCCTCTGTGTACTGATGACTCGAATGGCTAAATATACCTCCCGATAACTATTATGATCTCTTTGCTTATCCCTGTTTATTCTGTGTCTCGTCTTTAAAAGACATTATCATCTTATTCGTATCTTATAAGTAGTAGTATAAAAATTAGACGTACGTCTTGGTACGTTCAACAAGTCTTCTAAATGCTGGAACAGGGCGGAATTACCAACTGCGCTCGAAAGGCAAAGCTGCAGAGTAACAAGAAGGGCCACTATATAGAGCGTGATGGATGGCGGCATGCCTGCAAATAAAGCAACGTTTGTAACATTAAAAAGATTATTTTTGAAATTAGTTGTTTTTTTTAGATTTAATCAGATAAATTCCTATCAGTAAGGGGTCACAAAAAGCAGCAAAGAAGTACCTACTACATCCTACTCTACTACCCCTACCACATCTCACTTCACACTTCTGTGTAGTAATTGTGTGTAGTTTCGAGTACTTTTATAATTTTATAACTTCAAGAGAAACTTTTATAAATCGAAATTACCAATACACGCATAAGTTGCAGTAAGAGTGTTTAATACACTGATGGTTTATTTTAAAGTGATTTCTTACCTACAGAACCGAAGTTCCTTATTTTAACTAAACACAAGTTTTACGATGTTTCATGAAAGGCTTACATATTCGGGCTATAAATTGATCTCCGAATTTTCCGCGTGTTATACATGTGATTCAATTCATGTGCATTTCACAAGTCATGTTCTGAGTTAAAAGCTTTTTGCGAGCATGGGTCGTATGTTTTTTTAAATTAAATCTTGGAGACTATTGAAAATTAATGCTAGTGGAATTTTCTACCAATAAAATTTAGTATGCTTTAGAAAACGGCTATTATTAACACATCTTTATTAATACTTCTAAACAACTAAAGATAGTCAATTAGTTCTGTTTGGGCGATCGAACCACTAAATTGTCTGTGAACGAAAACATCGCGTGGAAATTGCTATATTTGCACAATATATAAAAAAAATCCAACATATTATGTGAAGTCTAGTAATTTGCATTGGTGTCGCTTTCCGAACTATACCTTGGAACCCAACTTGCCCAACAGTGCGATGTATAACATATCTACCTTTTTGTGTTACTGGAATAAAATACTATACCGTTAATACTGCACAATAAGATCACGTTAAAAGGTGAGTTATATAGGAGGGCGGGATGATAAGTAACTAGCCTAATAAGAAAACACTAAACTTTCCGTGATAAAATTAATTTTATTTTTCGACATAGTCTCCGTGAACCTCCATCTACGTTCCACTTATTCCATCTTCGTTCTAAAGCAATAATGACTTCCAGAAAATGATTTCTTTCGAGGCCTGCAAAATACTCCTGTACAGCGGCTATGACTTCATCATTTGTGGCAAATTTCTGTCCTCCCAAAATAGTTTTGAGCTTAGGGAATAAGTGGAAGTCTGATGGCGCTAGATCAGGCGAATGAGGTGGGTGGGGCAGCAAATCAATGGACTTAATGCATAAAGGCATTCTCTACCAGTCAACTCAGGATGTGTTGAGAGCTGTGTGTATGAATGAATGAACGAATGAATGTCTTCATTGCCAGAATATGGTACTACATTATGATCTTAATTATAATAATTTGGTGCAACATATTAAGCTGACTTCAGCATGCAATTGTCAATTTGATATAAAATCATTGTGGTAGCATCTATGTATGGTGTGTTTCTCTCACCTTGCAGTATGTTGTTCTGCACGCTGTTCCCGTAACGGTTGGCGGCGAGCAGCGATGTGATCATGAACATCAGTCCCGTGATGAGGAAGGCGCCCAGCACCGCCACGTTTATGCGTCTACTGTCCTTCATGTCCACTTGCAGCGTCAGCAGCATAGGGTGGATGTCGAACTGTCAGAGTGGACTCACGTTGACAAATTAAAGGAGCAGTATAAAAAGCATAGAGCGGAGTATAAGTAGACTCTGAGCAGAAGAGTAGAGTACCAGTAAGAGAGAACAAGTGCGTTCGTTGTGGCGTTCTAAGGGGGAGGCGTATGTTCAACGGTGGTCGTCTTGCGGCTGATGATGATGATGATGACGGAGAGACAACATCGATAAAGAATTAATCATATTTGTCTGAATTTATTTTACTGGTCATCCTCGTGGAATTTTTGCTTCTATCTGAAGTTCTAGCATTTATCTGATAAACTTAATATTTAAATAAAACAAAAACCGGGGGTTGCAGGTGTTCATGGGCGGCGGTAATCACTTACCATCAGGTGAGCCTCCTGCTCGTTTGCCCCTTTTCTCCATAAAAAAGACCGATTTTGTAGCGTTATAGTCTCTGCTTAAAAATGTTTTCACCTAATAATGTGTTGCGTAAACATTTCAAAAATATTATTATTTTTTAGAGCATACGAAGAGAATATTAAAATAAGAATACTCTTTAAACTTTTTTATGCTCACATTTACGAACTAAATTAATAATTGCACAGATTATGTAACTACAATTTTGTTTGTTGTCTTTAACGGGTTGACGGTTTAAAAAGAGAATAAAAATTACTATATATAAATATAACATTTAGCAAAAACCCGTATCGGGTAAATGTAGTTGGAGGCTAAATAAAATTTTTAATCATTCAATCTCAAGAAACGAACTTGGAAGGCGATGATTCCGTAAGCGACTAGGAAGTCCGACGAGGTCGGGATGTATTCCATGAGACCGCCCAAACTGGACGGCGACACGTCGTCCATGATGATGCAGGTCCAAGTGGACACCGCGACCGTTGTCACGATGCACACCGAAGCCAGTGCCAGCGGCCTGGAAGTATTTTTCTATGTAAAAGGCGGCAAACAGGCTGTTGTTTCGCCTGATGCTAAGTGTTTACCACGATAGCTCAGTGTCCGGGTACTTGCTTTTAATTTAATATACTCGTGTAACCTGAGTTCAAATCCATCTACCAGCACCAGTGAAATTACTAACTTAAGCGTCAGTTCGCAGACTTTATCAAGCGTAAAGCCAGATCCCACGAGCTAGAAACGGCCCTCCGCTTTGGTTAGCCGGCGGAGCTTACTTTAACCAACTAATTCTTCCCGTAGAGGGTCATAACGCACAAAAGCAGTAGTAATATGACTGCTAAAACTGCTCAAGACGTGTCACGACGTCGTTTCATAGTTTGGAATCATTTCAGTGAAAATTGCAGCACTATTAATAGAAAGCAGAGGTAGTACGATGACTAAGATGATTAAGACAAGAAAGAACCTAGTTCTTACTTCATGTCTTTGGGCGATCCGAGCCACATGACGGGGCAGAGGAGTAGCCCTATGACGACCATCCAAACGCAGTACGTGACGCCAACAGCACCGCCAGTTATCTTCCACCAGAACAGCTGCATGCTTTGTGATGCTGGGACAGAAATAAAGAAATTGTATTGAAAGGAATTGTATGTACAGACATTGTTGGAGAGAAACTTCCTTTGCGTAAATAATCGATCGAGAATTGAGTGTGAAGTTCGAGGACGCGTCACGTTTAGTCACATATCGTTACATGAGAGAAAAGAAAGATATAACGTAGAAATAAGCAGAAAAAGGGCTCCTCTGCCTTTATAATTAAGGTAATATATACGTAAGAAAAAACCGGATCGGGCAAACAGTAAATGGAGGCTAGATAAAATTGATAGAAATACTCTTATGCCATATATTAGCCGTGATAGCTCAGTGTCCGGGCGCTCGCCTTTAATTCAATATACTCGAACAACCTGAGTTCGATCCCCGGTGCAGAAGGCCTTTGCCCAGCAGTGGGACATGTATAGGCTGTTACTTTACTTTTTCTTTACATTTCTAATACGCAATTTAGTTTGTCCGCTGCTGACTGTAACATATTCTAAATTTGGCAATAATGGAAGTGGTAAGTAAACGACAATTATGGATAACGACAATTGACGACCCGAATTTCGTAGTGGGTAGTATACCTGCCTCCTGCACAAGAGTTCGATCCCCACTATTAGAAAAATATTGTGTGATGAACACAGTGTTTTTCTAATGTCGAGGTGTTTATATGTGTATAATATGTATTTATTTATAAAATAAAAGTGTATTTAAGTACCTATGTTTATCAGTTATCAAACTAAGCAACGCTTGTACTATGGGTATTAGCCATAGTACAAGCGTTGCTTAGTTAGAGAACGTTGTGTAAAAATGTGTCCTAAAATATTTATTAAATTAAATCGTTACTTGATGTTTTTTGTTTAGCAATTGACAACGATTTGTTTTAAAAGTGAAATTATTCTTTGAAATTATTATTTCTTTCTTAGACATGCAAAATGCGTTAGTAAGAATTGCAGTGCCGGATTTACCAAGTCTGCAGTCTTTTGTTTTTTTTAAATTCAAATATCTTTATGCAATATGCATTACACTTACTTATTGATTGTCAAAATACTCCTACACCATTTCAATATACAGCTTCCACCTAGCAATGCGGGGATTATTTTATGGGATTGTTTGGTGAAAAACGAGCATCCGACTCGCCCGATAATATAAAATGACAACACCAGTGGAGATACAAATGCATGACAAATACGAATGACAATTAACGTGGAAGCCAGAGCAGGGTGTGGGAAGAAAGGCTGGAAGTTTTATACTAAAGTATAATTATTGGTTTATGAAGTTGCTGTTCTGGTAGATGTTATCACACCATATTCGATAGATGGCGCTAGCTCCATACCAGAAAGTTGTTACAGGTTGATTTTTAGCTCCGCAGACTGGTTACGCTTACCGAATATGAAATTGGGCACAGCCGCCCCAAACACGGTGGCGTCGATGAAGAAAGTGATCAGACGCCGCGCGTTGTTACCGAACGCCAGCTCCGCTAGCGCTGCGTATGGGAACCTGCGAACGCGTTTTAAATATGCATTATAAGACAAATGAGCATCGACGTTACTTTATAGAAGCATTATTATTACTAGCCCACAGCAGGTCCATAGTAAAAACTGGCTTGTAACCAGTCAGATACGTTAATAAGATTGCCAACGCATCATAAGAACCGGCGATATAGCTCGTAGAACCAAAAACTGATGGGGAAGAAAGGAAGAAAGGTTCTTTTTTTTTTAATGCGTATGGGCCTGCAAACGCGTAGTGGGATGCTGGCGTCGATGAAGAAAGTGATCAGACGCCGCGCGTTGTTACCGAACGCCAGCTCCGCTAGCGCTGCGTATGGGAACCTGCGAACGCGTTTTAAATATGCATTATAAGACAAATGAGCATCGACGTTACTTTATAGAAGCATTATTATTACTAGCCCACAGCAGGTCCATAGTAAAAACTGGCTTGTAACCAGTCAGATACGTTAATAAGATTGCCAACGCATCATAAGAACCGGCGATATAGCTCGTAGAACCAAAAACTGATGGGGAAGAAAGGTTCTTTTTTTTTTAATGTGTCGTAGCCTCGTATTGGCCGCCACAAATATGCGGGAACTTTGTGGATGCTGGTAGGTCAGGTTCGAGCTTCGTGGCTGTCTGTGAGGGAGGGCATGTTCAACAGTAGACTCTAACAGATCTCTGAAATGATAATGATGACGAGTCTAGAAAAGCATTGTCAAATAAAATCTTGTAAAATTTACTAAATTTTACAACCAAAATTGCAATGAAATAGTATAACAAGCGTTATAAAGTGGAACACAAGTTTTTTACTTTATTAGGTCTACAAAACTGAATACAACCTTCACATAAGTTTATATAAGCTTCCAATTATTCCAAACACAAAAGTGCATTCTTCTAGATGTAGACACAACATGCATTTAAATCGGACAGAAAAAGGACAAGTTGTGTGGAATTGACCTTTGCTTTACGCTTGGAACTGTTAGCTACCAATAATTTTATGATTTTATTAATGCATCGTGTTTTTCTTTAAATTCTGGCTATATTCGTGAACCTGAATGTGATTTATCTTTGACATAAAGTGCTTGGAAAAACCTAAATAACATTTAAAAAATCTGACTTCTAGGCTCTCTCGTCTTTAGTCCATGACGGTTAGACAGAGTCGTTTAACGCTATTTTACAAGTACCTGCTCTTTTCTCGTATGGTTGGGGACAGTTCGTAAGCCAGTAGCCAGCTCTTGCCGAGCAGGACGGCTGTGTACAACTGCAACGAGAAGACCGCTATCACCAGCGGGACGCCGTAAAGACCTAGAATCGGCAGATTTTTATAGGTTATAGTTTGACAACTATGTCACCTGATGAACATTGATTAATTAAATAAAATCAAAAATAAAAAAAAACATTAAAAGCCTTTTATTTCACACCTAATAAAATTTAGCGTGAATAGAGATAGCTATTTGAGGGTGAGGGCCTCCTCCAAAGAATCCCAGTAGTCTCTATCTGTGGCTTTTTCTTTCCACAGTTTACCAGCCGTTCTTTCGATGTCGTCAGCCCATCTGCTTCTAGGTCTTGCCATAACGTCATCCGAGAAGTCAATCTGTCATCGGTCATCCATGGTACGTGGCACCATCACAAAGCCATTTCAATCTCATTGAAATTGATTAATTACAGTTTAGTTATTCACTTAAACGCTATGCTTTACGAAAGCCTCTCCGATTTTTTTATGTGAGAAGTTGGCAGATAGCTGTAGGTTCTCCTTATGTTAAGCGATAACCGCCGCCCATAGACATTCGCTAAAGCCGTAGTGTTTCAGATACGTTGGCACCTTTTAATAGAGTAGATACTTTTATCTCAAACTACAATGAAACTGCGTAGAAGACCACTAACGCGTTTGTATGTGAGACCTGTGTGACGCCCTTGGGCGATAATCAGCTACCGTAAGGTGAGACTTGATTTTTGCCAGCGTCGTAGTAAAAGATTGTACTGTGACAGTGCTAACTGGCAACTGACTGATCATCAAGCTTGTGGGAGAGCTAGGTTTTTGAGCTTTATATATTCTACGGTCCGAAGACCCAAACATAATTAGCATAAACAAAAAATAAAAAACAACTTATTGATGTAGCCGAGGAACGCTATATCAATAAGTTGTTTATTGTTTACGCTAGACAATGATATCAATTCAATTTTCGAACAAATTATTTTTGACGCTAAACCGTTTTGAAGTTATAATTCTTTTGGCGCGCTTGGAAAAAAATTTGGTAGTAAAATTTGTACAATGAGCACGCACACTAAATCAAAAAGCAACATGATGAAGTTGGTTGCAATGCGACAGGCTTCACGTTATTTCCATGGCAACCCAAAACAGTTTTTTTTGACATTTATAAAAATATTTAATTATACCGTCAACTTCAACTTCATACAAAGGTAACATAAGTACACACTTACTACTTTTTTGTGCAAACGTACGCATGTAGGAACGTCAGTACGATTATGCTTTCGGGGAGTATAATGGCCTAACAGAAGATTAGTGTAAAGAAGTCTTTACACTTTTAAAATTATCTAGTGAATGAAGTAGCCCGGGCCAACCCTGTAACCTTTCTCTCCTCAGGTGACCATACGTAAAGTATATACGAAACAGTCTATATACAGGATTTTAAATATTGTGCACATAAATGAATACTGGAACTATGTTATAATCGAGCGGAAAGACGGATGCCGGCAGGTTGTTTATGCTGTCCGGATAATGAACGATGAAGCAAATCGTTTCGTTCCTGTGCGTAGAACGTCGTTGTCGAAAGTTAATAGATTTAATATTCAAGCATTCTTCATCAGTGAATGGACAAGGTGCAAAATGGGCAGGTGAACCTTGATATAGGTAATTTAATTATCCAACACTTACAACATTAAATCTATCTAAGTTATATACATATCACCTAATAAAACTACTCCACGCGGCATGGTACCAAGAACTCCAACTGCATTTCTTCGCTGAATAGCCAGCTCTCGTCACCAGAATATGACTATTATTAGTTATTAATCCCCACTAACATTATAAATGTGAATGTAAGTTTGTTTGTTACGCACGTTCGTTTGTTTTTCACGCCAAAACTACTGAACCGATCATCATGATACTTTGTACACATATTCTTAAAGGTATTAAAAAGGTACGTACAATTCTTTTTATCAAAAAAAAATAAAAGAAGATATTTATTTCATAAATAAATATCTTAAACGTACCGCAGGCGATGACGCTTTTAGGCAGCGCGACTACGGGGAAGACCCCGAATAGGTCTACGATGCAGAGCATCGTGAACAGCACGCTTAAGCCGCCCGTCATCTCGCCCGCAGTGTATTGCCCCTGGTGGATGGCAGGTGCCGATTTTGGGGCAGTGCCATTGCTTCGCCCTCCGAACGGCCGGGGGATTTTCAATGCGCTGATGACCTGAAAGAAAGGCATAGGTATATGATATCAAGGATGTAGGGAAGTCTTACACACCATATTGAATAGTTACTTTAGTCTGAATAATTTTTATTGTATTAATCGTCCGCCTAAATGGTCTCCATTCTTCTAGAAGGAATTCGAAAGGGAACCAGAGCATTTAATAATTTACATATACTTACAATAATTTACACGATTGTGTTAAAAATGTATTTGTGATGAAATTACTGTAATTATAAAATATACATACAGGGTGGCTTTTCTAAGTGTATCCATTTTTTTATTAGATTCAAGACATAAATAATGTTATATAAAAAATGATAAATATTTAAAATCACTCGTAAGTAATTAATTACATACATTTGAACTTACGTCAAAAAGTGCGTGATTTATACGCAACGCATTTATTTGCGCGATCATTCATAACTAACACACACAAGATCGTGCACAGTAAAATTTAGGTATTTATGAATGTCTACCGCATTGTCAACACGTTTTGTTTTTTAGGTAATAGAATGGCAATCTTTTTGGAAAAAAATATGTTTGTTTTTTATTTCAATAAACGATTAAACTACCGAGCATTTGGTCATATATATATATATATATAGACTTACTTTCAGTGGCTTATTTACCAGCAGGCTAACCTAGTGCGGCAGATTTTAGAAAACGATTGAGCTCTTTTTAGTTCAGAAATATAGCCAAAAACTATTTTTCGTGTATTCTTCACTAAATCGTGGGGTGTAAAAATAATCTAGAACCTGACACAACGAAACCTCAGTTTAAATTTATGCTAATAACAAGAAAAGACTGTTGTATTGAAGGCGATAGAGCACAAAGTTGCCAATTTATTAATAAATGTCATTAATATATTTGTGAACTAGGGTATCGAATTTTAGAGGTACAGTAGGGGGGCAATAATGTAACAGTCTATTAGCGGCAAATTTGTAAATCCGCCACTGCTTACTTTACTTTACTATACATAAATTTGCTTTACGCATAATGTACGACACAGCAAACAAAAGTTCGAGTACGTAGAATTTCGGCAACAAAAAGATGAAGCATCCTACTTATCAGGGTACCTACGTTCTGGCACAGATAACGAATTTTAAGTGACAAGATGCAAATATAAATGAATAATGAATACCATTATGTATTTATTGGACGGACGCGTTTGTTAATCGAAACAGATAGTTTCTACTTTCAATGAACAATTGAATAACAAAGTCGTATTGTAAACGCTGCGAAATTTATGATTATCTTTTGCGCGTCATTCGATCATTTTTAAATGTTTCCTGAATACGCAGAAATCGGGATACATTTTTGATCAAAAAACACGAAAACGTATGTGCAATAATTAGAATATTATTAATTGTTCTACATATACATATATATATGTATATATATATAAATTTAAAAAAAACTTGTTATATTAACAAGTTTTTTAAAATTCACCGGCTATTGTGACAAAATAGTATATAATTTCCTCATAGACGGTTCCTAATACCAACTCTAACAGATAAAACATTTTGGCAGACGAATTATCAAGTTCTTAGAATCAAAGTTAAAGTAGACGGTAATAAAAAAAAGATTAAATAAAATACTCGGTACTCAAACTTGAAATAAACAGTTTGAGGATCAGATTTCGACCTCTATATTTTGAAAATGTTCGAAATCAGGTGAATGACCCTGACATCATACGTAGGTTTATTGCCGCGCGCCTCGAATTGTTTTTATTATTTGCGATGAAGAGACTTTTATTATTTGCCGACAACAAGATTCAAAAGGATAGAAAAAGGAAGGAAAAAGTCCTGTTTAATATAATGTGGCTTGTCATGCTACGCGGTTAATTTGTGAGTCTGACGGCGCGGTGGTACTCAGAAACAGAATCAACACTGAGCTCGGATTAAGCTCGTCTGTTAAATAATTATGTTGAGTTTTGTTTATAAGAATACACTTTAGAAATAAACGCCTTGAACTATATAATATACTCTAACAGTCTATCAATGGTTTTTATCTGAAATAGAATAAAAATTGCTATAGTACGAATACTCATACTATCACGCTCGGTACCTCCTTTCGATCAACTATTTATGTATGTAAAATAACATGGAATAAGGCTAACTTTATCTAGAATAACAATAAAGAACGGTAATAACAACAATTGTTACCTACGTCTTTAAGAATTGTCATGAAAAAACTTTGTCAATCATGTTGAAATGATAATATTATTGATTTGCTTTCATGGTTTGCTCAGTTTGGGACTAGATAAAGTTCATTTCGATGCTTATAAATATTTATATTACTTGCTTATATGTTCATTGTTTTTGTCATTGTGTACCTTATTTTTTATTACTAGCCTTTTCTTCACGATCTTTTAATATTAAAATCCGATTTTTGAGTAAACCGCCAGTTAAGTAATAATATATAGTACATAATCATAATAGTACGGTGAACTGTTGCCCGCTGCCTTTGCCGAAGAGCTAACCTTACTAATATTATAAATGCGAAAGTAACTCTGTCTGTCTGTCTCACTTTCACTCAAAAACTACTGAAACGATTTAAATGAAATTTGGTATATAGATAGTCTAGAGCCTGAGAAAGGACATGGCTACTTTTTAATTGGAAAAATGTGTTGTAAAGGGTAAAAAGATATTTATTTAAGGGCTTCAACGCGAGCGAAGCCGCGGGCGACAAGCTAGTCAATAATATATTCGTAACAAATAATTATGACTGTTTCTAAATTAACCTATAGTGGTCATATATATCGTTATCGTTATGTAAGCCATAGGGTCACTTTGTTGTCAACTTGGAGCCCTTTTCATAGGAACGGTTGGAGTTAACCAGTTGTAAGGTATGCTGAGTATTTTGCAGTCCTCTGCGTGGTGTAAAAAATTTAAGCATCGTTTTTAAATTTATTTAAGGCGTCTATGCGATTAAGAAGTAGCGCTATTTGCGCCTAATACTTTAATACCCGTAAACACTTTCAAAACCTACTTGCGTTTGTTTTTATTTTTCAAATTCTAATCTAGTTTCAGCTTCACTGGATTTTATATAAAGCTTCATCTAATACTGAACCAGAATCGAATACTACCCAATGCTAGTTTCCGCGATGATAGCTCGATGTACCTACCCTAAGCTTGAGTAGTCACGCATTTGGGTATGCGTGCAGCGGTTACGTGATTCTGAACTCGAGTGTACCTTGTGTACGCGGTAAGTTGGTTTCGCCGTACTCGTCTAGGCCAGAGCGAACTACGCTATATACGATGAAGCGCTAGCCTTTACGAAAACAAGCTTTATTAATATTTATTGATAAAGATTAATAAATATTATCAACCGTACCCGTCGTTTGGACGAAAACAAGCTTTATTAATATTTATTAATAAAGCTTGTTTTCGTAAACAATTAATCATAACTACTGAAGATATAATTAAATTATTAAAACCTTCACGAGACATTATAAACTAAATTCTTTTTTTTTTTTTCAAATTCGAAATATTTTTATTCAAATTTCAAATTTTGCATAAAAATTTATATAATCGTTCGTAAGGAACTACTGGTTTGGAAAGCAGTTTCGGTTAAGAAGAGACCGGCGAGAAATTCAACAATTGCTCTTTTTCAAAAATATCAGTTTACAATATAACATATATTTATAATAGTCTTATTTTAGACTATGAACAGTATTAATTAAACAAAATAATTAAATAAATAAATGGCTAAACTCAAAATGACAAATAATGACATTAATATTTTTACGATACTAACGTCACTCAATTGTATTGCCTTCCCGGAACCCATCCACTAACACTTAAACTTTATGGTATGGTATTAAAGTTCAAATTGACTTTTAAGTATTATTATGAATCTTTTGTATGGAAATATAGAAAAGTGTTGCGATTCATTTTTATATATAGAGATTATTTCGAAAATATGCAGGTTTTTCTAACGTTGTTTTCCGTCACCGCTAAGCACGTCAAGTCAGCGCATTTTTTGCATGCAATTTTTCATTTGTGCCGTCACAGGGGATCGAAATCAGGTTGCTCAAGTATATTGAATTAAAAGCGAGCGAAAAAAATGAGCTATCATGGGAAATGACAGTCATTCGAGGTGCGTATCCTTTGCGTCATACGGAACCGGTGGAACAAAAATAAGATAAAACGTTGCAAATGGTAAAGTTTTAAATTGTTTTTTTTTAATAGTTTTGTCTTTTTTTTAATTTCATTTCTTTTTCTGTTTCTATATTACGTCTGCCCCTTACCTTTTTTCAATTAGGACTTGTTTCAAGTTCTCATTAACGTCATAGTCAGATAAAGACCAGTTCAGAGATGAATCAGCTAGCAGAACTTCGATTATCTTTCATCTACATATTGAATGTGTTCATTTAAATGGCACGTAAGACATACATTTACTGTGAATATATAAAACAACATTATCTTATTTTTTACTTAAAATAGTTATTAAAAAAAATCTTAATAATTAGTATAAATCTGTTTAACGAATTTTATCTTGTTAAAACTTTGCGTCGTGACGGGATTTACAATAGCCGTATAGTGTTCGGAAGTCCAGAAAATTGTTAGTTCTTCTAGAATTTTCCTAAACATAACTTTAAATCTGTAAAATGTTTTAGTAAAATTATTTTTAGCTTTGACAAATGTGGCAGGTCTTGTTATAGATTCGTTTATCCAGAGACCATATAGGTGCTATAAAAGTTTTGAAACGTTAGGATTTGAAATTTTAACGCGATGAAATGCATAAAATAGTTTTATTTTTAGGGTTCCGTACCCAATGGGTAAAACGAGACCCTATCACTAAGACCTCACTGACTGTCTCTCTGTCTGTCCAGGCTGAAACTCGTGAACCGTGAAAGTTAGACAGTTGAAATTTTCACAGATGTATTACTGCTGCCGCTATAACAACATACCTAACTAAGAAACAGAATATAAAAGTATTTAAGTGGGGCTCCCATACAGACACGATTTTTTTTGTCATTTTTATAGATAATGTACGTAACCATTCGAGCGCGAGTCCGATCGCGCTTGGCCGGTTTTTTCTAATGTTAATACAAGATGATTGCATTTTCGACGCGATTTTTTTCATCGATAACAACAAAATTAAATGTACCCCGCAAGCACGTAACGAAGTAAGATTTGTCTCTGGACAAAAAAATGTGAAAGCATTTAGGGTCCGGTTTCGTGCTTGATTAATATTTAATTTTTACTTTAGCGGACCCAGTTAACAATTTGCTTCGAATATCAAAAAAATTGTTCATGATTTGTTTTATGCAGTATGAATCAATTCGTATGTATTTTCTATTTGAGAAGCAAACTACATGGACTTAAGTGTTTATCCATTGACGGTACACGCGGAGTCGCTGATGCATGGCCAACATTGAACAACTCCTAATAATTCGATGACTAGGCAAAAGTACTAATACCAGGGTAGGAACACGCATCAGCTTCCACTTTTCGCGAATGGCTGCTCGTCCGGGGAAGTACCACGGCCTCACAGAAGAACGGCGTGATGTCTAGTGAGGTAACTGGGGCCCACTTTTCAAAAGATACGGACGCAACGGCAACCCTATTGGTGTTGTAAATGTTCAGGACGGCGGCATGCGATTGCAGCCCATACAAAAATTCCCTAAAACACTGAAACCCACGAATGATAGTTTGAATTGAATGTAACTTTATCCTTATTATCTCGTAACCAAACCAAACCCAAGCGAATGTAAAAGATAATTTTATTTAATATGCAAAGTAAATTTCAGAATAATGGTCACTAGTAACTTGAACACTAATCACTTACCCGTTCAATAAAACAAAAGAGGTAATATTTTATATTCATAAATGGTCATATTAACAATTATATTAATGTTTTTTCATTAATTCACAGCGCTATAAATAAAACTCTATAACTGGTATCTTGATCCTCTACAATTGACTTGATTCTTGATCGACGTAATTACTCACGTAAGATATATTTTTATACGAAAATTTAATTATTTAAAGTAAGCTCTACATTAACATGTAACATCACTGAGGTAGGGCCACTCTTTTCACAACGGTTGGTTGACCATATAATGTGATGTGGCCTAACTCCCTGCCTGACCGAGCTAGGGTTATTGAGAGGTTGGACTTGGCTACAGGGCAGTTCAGAGAGAAGTTTATTATTAAATCTTCTCGGGCTTTACGTCTACTGTCCATTTGAGAAACCAATCACTTAGTGATTGGCAGCGTTTTGGGCGTGAATTGTGACTTGACCGAGATATTTATACAAGGAGTGTAGGGCTGTGTGTTATATCAAGAGTAAGATATCGATATTGAAGGTGCCTTGAGACGTCACTCGTGAAGAGCGAAAAGAGCAAAGCGGAGTGGTGGAATCCTTTGTGAACGCCCGCCATCACAGGGCGGCTCGTGGTGAGAGTGCCGTCTACTCGATAACGAGTCGCGATCCGACACAAAGGTTGAACTGATGCGCATGAACAATTGAACATATTGGAAAGCAAGCCGTTGTGCCAGACCTTGCCGAATGCCTTTGTGACATCGACGGACAGAGCTCCCGTCCGTAGTGTTGTGTTTGGGGTGGTAAAGACCTTTCAAGATCTTCTTCGTCAGGGGGAAGAAGATCCGGCATTCTAATGCCTAAGACATAGATCTTATGCCTTTTGAGGATGAAGCGTTCGTACAGCTTCCTCAAGAATATAAGGAGGCTAATCAGGTGATAACTGATGACCTTTATTAATTTACTGTTCAGCGAGTTTTACTGTTCGTAGAGTTTTGTATCGGTTTGGCTATCGAGTCTTCTAAACTTGAATTTGAAAAAGTTTTACGAATGGAAGAACAATAATGCAGTAGATTAGATAAGTATTTACCTGTGCATCGAATTCGATAATATACCATGAACATTAAAAATTGGTAGATCATACTATTCTTTAAGTGCTTTAACCGGTGAAATTAGCGCGAGGAATATTAAGTGATACACTTTCTGTACCCTGGAACACTGTTAATAAAACCAATTTAAGTTTCATGTACGCTTTGAAAGAGGTTTATGAAATGTAAAATAGAATGTAAAAATCTTGTTAGTAGATAGGTACTAAAATACTTAGGTATCGTTTTGGCTGCCCTATATTTTTAATAGATAATTTTATTTAACTTGTTTTCAAATTAATTTAGTTTGAAAAATATCAATATGTTTGTAAGGTAATCAGCAATATGTAAATATCGACGTTATCGAATCTAATTGATTGAAATCATTTCTTGATATCGAACCCAAAATTTTTCGTAAACATTAGGCGAACGTTCGAATTTTAACCTTTAAATAAGTAGTAATGTCCATTTCAAGGTTATAATTTCTAGGCACATACATTTTACGCGGTAAAACTATCGTTTTTATAAAAAAATGTAAATTGTGATTTTAACAAAGAATATATGGCGTTGATTTCTCATTTAAATGAAATCATTATTAAATTCTACAACATGGCATGTCAGAATGATGTCAAAAGTCGTTAAGCATACAAACTCTGAAATGACTAGAAAATCGTGTGTGCACGGATGTCGAGTTTATCAATGAAACGAGCCATAATTGCTATAGTGTCCATCCTTGCCAACCGGTTCGCAACTAGTATAATGTTATTGCTGAATTCTTTTATGACTCTTTTTGTGCCCATGGGGATGCATATGATTTCTGCACATACCTACTCGTCACTTGGCGAGTTTGGCATTTTTATAAATGAGTGCTAATTTTTTAAAATGAATAATACAATTTAATAAATTAAACATCGATTAAAAATCCAGCGTTTTAGCTGATATCATTTTAAATCTCATTGTAGATCCGTTAAGTTATTGCTGTGCTTAAATCAAATGAAAACATAGAAAACATTCGCTGTTACATTAATGAACATACCGTATAAACTAGCCACATCACACCCTAGCTACACAACAAGCCCTATCACACCTTTGTACCCAGTGTAGAGTCAAATTTCTACTACCTGTTATGTATGAGGATTTTATGAAAAGTATATTCACGAGTTTGGTATGGTTAAGTTTTCCAATAGGCGAACTTATTCCAAACAAACGTTGGGTTTAGGAAAGCACTTGCTTTAACCATCAGGCTAAGGCCCGCCAGGGGAAGGTAGGATCAGCATTAAATGTCTATGATAATCAGGGAAAGCTATTGCGCCGTCGACGTATCAGTTTATTACACACAGCGGACTAAACGAAAAAGTCACACTAATCAATGCTGATATTCCATGACAACCTGGTACTGCCAGAAGCTACTCCTGTTAGAGAAATTTCAAAGGTTCGGTGTTATTACATTCCTTTGTTCGATAATTAACGAGGGCCTCGGTCCTATCCAATTAGCGTGGATTATGTTTCCGCGGACATTGCTCTACATTCAAGTGGTGAGGTTAATGCCGGAAAATTCCAAGAAGTATCCAAATTAGGAAAGTACTTACAATTACTCAAGTAATAAGTAAATAAAAATTCTTCCAAAGTGTAAAGTGGTATGTAAACCGGTATGTTTTGTATAACAATTTATTTTATTTTTGAAATTCGAACACTTAACAGCTTTTGTGGTTACGGTAATGTAAAAACAAAATAAATAGCGATTTTTACCATTTCTGATGGACAAAACTTTCAATTGCAAATTACTTTGCAGTAAATATTTTTGAAGTAATAAAAATAATATACATAGGTATATTATATAACAATACCTATCTATATATTTTTCTTTTAAATAATCGTTTGTCATAATTATATTTATTTATAAACATAATTGTACAACTATAATTACAGGCTGACCTATGCAAATTGCAAAATGGATTTTAAAATATATATTCCATGTTATAGTTAATTTAATTAATACGACTATTGTAAGATCTAAAAATTTTATTGTAAAATATCTTAATCATAGCTCACTTTTAATACCTTTTATTTAACTTTTTTTAAAACCGTGTTCAAAAAAATGTGTTCGCTTACCCGCCTGCAAAATGTAGCAAATCGCCATCTCCAACCACTCATGTTTATTATTTTTTCTATCAGGCTGAAAGAAAGAGAAAGTTTTGTCTTTATTCGTGTAAAAAAACCTAAGGCGCAGTAAGCGTATGAAAAGCTCATCCGTTTTCACCGATTACGAGAAATTACAAACTTGTATTTTGGTTCGTAATTTAAGGGAGTAGCGAATTATTTATTGCAAAATGTAAATGAAGTAAAATTTAATAAAAATGGTAGTAATTTAAATAAGAGTCACCTTTATTGAGCTAATATTATTGTCCTCACTTAAACATACTAAATCAATTGTATATTCTATTATTCACTGACCACTACCACTATCACTATATCACTTTTTTTTAATGAAATGGCAAAATCTTCCTAAATTTAAACCATCGGAAGTATATTTATTTTGTGTAGAGCATTTCTTGGTTCCTGCAGTTCATTTATTAATTTATCTATAATAATATCACTCGATGTTTTTAACATAAAAAAAGCTTGTAATAACACTATATTTCAGGCGGTTTTTAAACTTAATCGCTTTAAATGCAGTATCCAATTCGCAGAATAAATTGAAATATTGCTCGGTAGAAATATGAAGTTTCCAAAAACTGGTTCAGCCGGTGAGCACGGCTCGACTGACCAAACTGCACTTCAAGCTGCGGTGTGTCGTACGTTTGTCCGACATTCCATACACATGTATGTATTGGCAACAATTGACTTAAGGGCTGGTAAAACCGCGCGTCCTTAATTAAAGCGATCCATAACAGTATGAAGAAATTTGACGCGTTTTTTTAAAAGTTAACCGGTTTTTCGAAAACGGTTTTGATGGTTTCAACTCGAGTCTAATTATTTGTTTGTTTCAACGACCAGCAGTAATGGCATTATGAAAATTACATAAAACCGTGCTAAAACAATGGTTGTGTACACAACTTTCAATGTGCTTTTTTTAACGTCAGTAAAACGACGCAGTTAAACTCAAAGTATTGTTATAAAATAGATGAGAAAATAGCGAAGAAAATAAATCCTAAATAAATCTAGACATATAATATTTATATATAAAAATGTAGCTTCCGTATTTTCGTGTAGTTTAGTAGGTATTTGAAAGACGACTTTACTACGAAATGACTTACTCTCACGCAACGTTACAGGTTATTAGATAGGTAGCTTTTTTAAAAATAGCGTAGACAAATTCCAGAATCGTATGTATTGATCGAACAGTTTGACAAAAAGCTCTAATTATATTTCTTTCCATATTTATAGAAAGTAAAGATTCTGGGTATTGTACACACGCGAACATGTATGTAGCAATTGACCTTGGTAAAAGCACGGTTTTTTTAAGTTCACCCCCGCTACCTTTATGTTTTCCCTTGTGCTTTATTAATGTTCATAGCGAAACTAAGCTTAATACGAGATTGCAGCCTTTTGAATTGGAATGGAAGATCTGTGAGAATTATAGGCATTCGTGGTATTATTACATTTTAACCCTTAACTTCACTGGTTAACATGGTGGCACAAATTATGACATCTAAACCTTCCTTTCTCTTGTATCACTCTATGTAGTAAACCGCATCAAGATCCGTTGCGTAGTTTTAAAGATCTAAGCATACATAGGGACAGACAGACAGCGATTTTGTTTTATACTATGTAGTGATGACTATAGATACCTACTCAGAATTAAATAAAAAAAAGAATTATAATTATTACCAAATTCGGTTATAGGATTGCGAACAGATGGCGTTTACACAAATGTACGGGGAAAGAATATTGGAATTTTTCAAACTTTTTTCCACTCCTTTAATTAATAAAGAATTTTAATTTCTTATAATTGAATTTTTGTTTACAATTAAGGCTATTGACATATTTGGATATATTTCAAACTTAACTGATCACACTACTTGTCTACGTTTTCATTAAATCCTGTAAGCATATATCAGATAATGTTTCTGTTTTAAAATTATCCAGTACGGTAGATGTTATGAAATTTAGTTCTAACAAAACTACTCGTCTAAACCCCAGCGACGACAGACCCAATGAACCCAATCAAGCGTGCACTAGGACATACGTGTACAAAACCAACAAATACAATATTTACCTAATATATTTTCCACATCAATAGCTTTTACCAAAAAAAAAGTAAGTACATCCTTTTTTTTTTTTCAAATGAATATCCAAAATAAAATTAGCATATTATAGAGGTAAATTCAAAGGCACGAGAGTTCCTTCAAAACTAAGCAACAAACCTCAATATCGAAAAAAAGTACAAAAGAGTACCAAAATCACTGGTGCTCAACTCTTATAACTATTTTTGTTTCAGCTGTTTTTCGCTTTTTTGTGTCACTGGGCAGTCCTGCGCCTCAAATCCTGTTCCACTATATCCATGCAGATGCTGTAAACCAAGTTTTTATACAGGGTCAGGGTGGCTTTTCTAAGTGTATCCATTTTTTTATTAAACTCTAGACATAAATAATGTTATAAAAAAAATGATAAACATTTAAAATCACTCTTAAGTAATTAATTGCATTCATTTGAACTTATCTCAAAAAGTGCGTGATTTATACGCAATTCATTTATTTTACGCGCGATCATTCATAACTAACAGGCACACAAGTTCGTGAACAGTAAAATTTAGTTATTTATGAATGACTACCGCATTTTTTGGAAAAAAAAAAACTTTGTTTTTTATTACAATAAACGTTTATACTACCGAGTCTGAACCTCCTGTGTTAATTTGGGCACTTCTCAAAAAATCTCCCTGTATACGATTTTTATACGATTTTGGTCTGTGTTTGACCATTCTTCCATCCATTGACGCATTCATCTCGTGAAAGTTAACTGGAGCTGGAAAGAGTAGTCTAACACATATTATGGGACCCGTTCGTTATTTTGACGGCCCAATTTAGATTTTATGCCATGTTTAACACACAATTAATTCGACTGTGGTAGGGCCACGCAACAGCTTCTGTTGAGCACGAGCTCTTTTGCGTTTGTTTAGTAAGTGAGGTAGCCGACGACCAATAAAAAAAAATAATAATTTGTCAATGCATCTGCAAGCCTTCAGGTATTGTATGATTTGATGTCCATTGGTGGCGGTAATTACATTACCATCAGTAACCGTGTGCTTGCTTGCCAACTTTACACATTAAACAAAAGAATTATTTCCCACTTTCTCGCTTTCACTAGTAGCTATTCTGAAGCTTGAAATTGCGTGAAAATATTTTCTCTCTCGCGGAGTATGTTTCGATTGGTGTTTTTAACCGACTTCAAAAAAGAAGAGGTTTCTCAATTCGACCGTGTATATTTTTATTTTTTTTATGTGATCGAGGATAACTTCGTCGTTTATGAACCGATTTTGATGATTATTTTTTTGTTGGAAAGGAGTTATCCCAAGGGTGGTCTATGATAAGGAAACCCGAATCTGATGATGGCATCCCAGAGAAATCGAGGGCAATCCTTAAACATTATAGGTATTTTATTAAAATATGTAGAAAAAGTGCGAAAAGATTGTCGCCGCTGTGGGAATCGAACCCACGTCTTCGGCATTCGCGGCCTGACGCTCTAGCCACTGAGCTAAACGGCTGATTGCCACACAGACGAAAATCTTAACGCATTCTTCTACATTGTTTTTCTTAGCAGGTATTTGTTAACAATGTCAATGTTTTTTAGTTTCCGGTTTGTTTTAAAAAAATATTATAACACAATTATCTTCCTCAATAGCCAGTTAAGTCAGTTTTCTTTCGCATTTATGGGCTTTAGTATCGTCGCTAGATAGAGCAGTGCATGGTTATGTTGTTAGCAATGTATAGTTATGGATTCCCATTTACACGCTGCAGGCTAAGGCGTGGTTACCTAGGCTAGCCCATTGCATCATCAACCGTCACCGCAATTTGTAGTAGCCTCTGTAGATGACAACTTGTGCGGAGCTATTTTCAGAGCGATTTCCTATTTTAAAAGCTACGAATTGTTTCCATAACAGAAAAATTTTAGGACGTCGATGAATAAAGTAAGATCCGAGTCCATTTTCATGTAACATTTTTAAATTATTCATGCTCATCCTTTGAGAGATTTTGGAGATGAGTTTTTCCACATAGAAAGCATTACGCTCAACGCCTGAACTTACCATATGGCCTGCATTGATGAAGTTGCTTCGAACTAATAGTAGAAGCGAGGCGTCAGTGAATGCAACAGAAATGAGATTAGCGGGATGCTCCGCTAGCCGCCCGCAGTCATTAGGGACGCAATGTATGCTAGCCATACGCGCAAAATTCTGTCAATTGTGCGGTTGAGGAGGGGCAGCTGAGGCGGTCAGCGCTACCAGGGCTGAAATTTCATAGATCTTCTGTTGCCGCTATAAAACAACAAAATACGATAAATAATATCGCAACGATGAAGCAATACCAAATCGCAATATACAGCTAAAACGAAAATTGAACTACTATTGCACAACTATTATAACATAAATAATTTAGTTGCGCTCTTTTTACATTTAAAAATATCTTTACCCATTTGTACGAGCGCTTAACACTTTTCTACAGAAAAGTACTGTCTAAGTAGCGTACAAGCCAGCAGGTAATCCAATACGCTCCGCAAAGCGACGTATGTACGTACATTGCGTTCATTGACATGTAACCGGTGTGTCTAAAGATACTATTACGTCGTCTTTCAGATAGTTTATCGATTGAACTGAATAAAAGGTACAGTGAATGTACATTTTTAAATTCTCATTCTATTTTAGTGGTTAACCATAGATTACAAAATTTGAAAATCGATTAAGATTGCTTTTTCTTTACCTAATCTTAGTAGTAGCCAACCTAGACCGCTCTCTGATTGAAGTAAAGTAACAACCCTTATGTACCACTGCTCAGCAAAGGCCTTCTGTGAACAGGGGGTATAAGCGCATAAACGACCACGCGACCTGACAGATTGGCAGAATTCACATGTCCAAAGAGAATGTAATCACTACGTTTATGACGTAGTGATGTACGTACACTACGTCCATGTACTACGTACATGTCTTTGAAATATACAGC